TTTCCTTCCTACGGAGCAGCTCTTTAATGGTATGCGGACCAACCTCTTCTTCTGTTCTGGTCCTACCATTCTTGTGGAGGCTGCAGAGTGGCCAGTAGTCTGCCAGTTCAATCCCGGCTATACCCTTGTGACCAGGCACCCAAATAAGGTGGACTCGGTTGTGGTTTGATAAGCTATTCAGCCGTTCTATGCACTCCTGCACTAGTAGCGATGTGACCTCATAAGCAGAGATCGCATTTGGTGCCGCCTGACTATCGCTGAGTATGGCAATACTTTTATTGCGATAGTTCCGTTTGAGGTTTATCTCTACACACCGACTTATAGAATAGACTTCCGCTTGGAAGATGCTCTGGTTTTACTTGTCTAAAGTTAGTCGCTTCCGAAATTTCGTCGGTATACTCGTAGTGCTATATCTTGTCGACGTTTTGCAGGAAAATTGTTTTGATGCACATAGAGGGCGGCTCCGCTCCAAGCAGGTGACTGCAATACTGATTTCTACGAACGAGTACCTGCCGAAATTTCTTGGAGAGAAAGAAGAAAGTTAAAGATCACCGCGAGCATGCACGCCACACTATGTATGTGTCTAATAGCGGGCATCAAGAGACATAGTCGGAAATTTAATCATTCCTTTCTGAAAAATGTGGTTGCTGTGGTTTGGCAGGGGAGGGTCTTAGGCTCCTTGCAGTAAAGAACGTTCTCGCTTCGTGGAGACAGCCGTTCACTTTGAAACGCATGGTATCGATTTCAGTGCCCGACGTCAATGTCAAGCAATCATCAGCGGATGAGGTACTGAAAATTCCCTCTGGTGGTTGGAGAAGTTTCATGATGTAGCAATTAAACGGAAGCAGGAAGAGAACATCACCCTCAAAATTAAACGTTGTTCATATCTGGAACCTAAATAATCATAAACCTGCCTCAGGTTTAGTACACATTACCAAAACTCTTTGCTCAATAAGCACTCAGTAAAATCTGAAGTTAGTACTACATGACATTTATGGAAGACGTTTGTCACGATCTAGCAAGAAAATATATTTGAAGACACGCATACATATGTATATACAATAGATAACTCTCACCAGAATAAAAAATATGATATAATTAAATACTGGAAGTATAATCACGCGGTAAAAGAGTAAAATGATTTTCATCATGCTTGAAAATTAAACTTCTGATATACATATGTATGTACAACCACAATTTTAAGCTTACTCCAATTACAAAGTCTTTGTTTTCGTCATAAACAAAGAATTTTATCTTTTATCTATATTTTGAAATAAACATATTGATAGTTCTATTTATATCGTGAATTTTGTATAGAGTTTGTTTGCTTGCCAAAAGTCTTTCAGCGGTTCCGCCTGGAGGACAATATTTTAATTCAATTTTCATATTTACTTTTTTAATGACAATGCGTCTTTAGCTTTTACGCTCCTAATTTTTGGCGTACATTTTACAATATATTCAATTACATTTTACGCTTTTTTGTTCAAAATTTCCCTCTCATTTCCCCATACATGCAAACATGAATGATGAATCACCCATTCCGCATCAGTGCAGTTCACCGCCGTGTCTACATTGTTCAAGAAGTTGCATTCCCTCATTATTATTTTCGCCTAAGATAAAACCAAAATGGTGCTTAAAATAAAACGTAAATGTCACCTTAATTGTTGTCATTCTAAAATGTTGTCCTTTAAATATAAGTAGACTGCCACCACCACCACTGAAATTATGTTTACAGTCAGGTTTAATTTAACGCCTGGTATGCATTGTGGGTGAGTGTCTGCCCAGCTCATTTGTCATATTCGGTCTGTGAGCTTATTTGTAGCTCTAAATTGGTATAATTTGGCAGCAGCAATATTTAAGCGCTGGAGAAAGGACAACGCAATGAATAAGCTGTCATTGAGTACTTTTTTATAGAGTTTTATAGAGTGATTGTACTGAGTCACTCAAAAGTTGCTGCTTTACACTATTTAAATTTGTTTATTTCAAAATATTGGACATTTTTTTTAGTGAATTTACCATAAATCTTCCTGGTGAATGGTGAAACTCTGTAAAATAAGATGACATCAGTGTCAAAGGTATTTTGAGCTCAGAAACCTAAGAACGCCCAAACATTACTGTTGTAATTATTATAACAACTTCATTTTCTTCCTATAATATATATGTATATGTACATATATGAAAGATCAGTGTGATGGCTAAATCGACTTAAGCCATGTCAGTCTATCTGTATTCGCATATATAGCACAATATATAGTAGTAGTCTCTCAAATCTTTAATACATCGATTGGAAATTTTGCACACGTCTTTCTCTTATCATTTGGCATAGATTTTTGTCTAAGGCAACACTGTAATCGCATAAATCATTTAGTTCGGATCACTGTAGAATATACATAGCTGCCATACAAACCGAGCGATCAAAATCAGAATATCAGATCTTTGTCCAAGGTAAGGCTATAAGCTCGGAATAAATCATACAGATCGAATCATTAAAGCGTATAGCTGCCATACAAACTGACCGATCAAAATCAAGTTTTTGGATGATCGAAAACTTTTTTATTTGAAAAGATATCTTCACGAAATTCAACACAGACTATTTTCAAAGACAGCCATATAATCTTCGAACAAATTATTCAGATTGGGCCACTATACCATATAGCTGCCATACAAACTGACCGATCGAAATCAAGTTATTAAATGGAAACTTTTTTTTTAATTTATCAATGGTATTATAGCTTCAGTGCAGCCAAAGTTAATGTTTTTTCTTGTTTAAATTCAAGTCATCAGTAACTACCTTTAATATCGTCTGAAGCTCTTTAATTACTAGCAAACTGTTGTAAGATTGCTTATCAGTTTTTTTTTCAACTAAAACGTAAGTGAAACCTAATTTCTGAAACAACATGACTAGTAAGTAAAAATAAAATTCGAAGAAAAGATTCAATTTTATGAGCATACGTGACAACATCGGAAATTGGATACACACAAAGTGTATACATACAATGACGCATAAGACGTAGAAATGAAACTTGTTTTTAACTTATTCGAATTATTTAGCTTCAAAATAAAACATAAAACCTTTTCGATAAATTATCTTCAACATAGTAAATCTTTAATATTGCAATACATATACACGCGCATACATATGTAAAGACAGAAAGAACTGTACAAATAAAACTTGTATATTTTAGATAATTTTGTCTCTGTCATGAAAGCTCTATACTCTTTCGTTTACAAAATCGTTAGTATATCATTAAGGTATGTAATTGATTCATAAATATTTATGCATATAATTAAATATTAGATCGAATACTTAAATTGTTAGATTAGCCTTCAATGTTAAATTTCAACTGAAGTTACAGCGAAAGTACACTTGGTGTGCAAAATATTTTTTCTATAAATAATTTATGTAATATATTTTCTCCAAATTGCCAATATAAAGCTTTACAAATTATATGTATGTATATATACAAAACTTGCAAATGTGTTTTTTAGCTAATCAATTTTTTTCCTTTTTAAAATGTTTGCTTCCGTTGTAGAAGTTTCTTTAGTTTTCTTCGCTTGAAAAATTGAAATGTACGAATTTTCATGAAATGAAATGCACGTAAGGAACGCAAACGAACTGTTTTGCAGCTGTATTCGCTAACAAACTTAAAATTATATTACCATTCGTTCGGCGCTTACGTCAGCGTTTTTCAACAGCGCACTGCAGGCGCTTATGATCGCAGCGATGCTAAGCGATTTTGCATTTCCTGCAAATCTTCCTCTTCCTCACCAGCCTCATCTTCAGATTCAACTACTGTGGCAGCGGGTACTTCATGTTTTTCTGCAGCAATGCCTTCGGGTGGTAAAGGTGCCTCACCAAGTTTGCCATCCGTAATTTCCCACAATACTTTATCTACTTCCTTGGCCGCCTCCTCTTCCATCTCCTCAGACTCTTCCAGCGAATCCATTGTCTCGTCGAGCATTTCTTCAATTATGCCAGCTTTCATCATTTCTTTCGACATATCTCGCATTATGCCCGCTAATTCTGGATAACGTACTAAATTCTGCATAGCTTGCATTACTTCCGTGGATTTTTGTAACGAGCCAGCCACGCGTAATGTAGCTACCCAAACAAAAAACAATATTTTTGTGTTATCTTAATGCTTATATTTGTATGTTAAACGCAAAATATTTACCCAATTGGTTTTTCATTTGTAGCTGTATGGAGTTAAGATGTGCCTTAGATGTGTAAATACGATTTATCGCTTTACGTGCACGCACAATTTCTTTTGCGAGGATGATACAAGTGTCCCGATCATTTTTTGTTGCTGCCTGCTTTAAGGAACGCTTCACTTTCTCCTCCTCTCGCTGTATACTACGTATCTGCCGATCCAGTTGATTGCTTTCCTTGCGAATTTTGTGCGTCCATTCTTGCACCTAAGCGAAGCATAAACAATTTGGTTAAATCATATGCAAATTTTATTTCGTTTTGTTTGTTTTTAACTTTAAATGGGATGACGTAGTATACATAAATGGTTTGCCTTGGGCATGAATTCAACCACTTAACAAGTAGGCCAAAAATTGTACCAAAATTGGTATTGTACAAAAGTTATTACCTGCTCTTTTGGATCTTTGGTATGAGTTTTGCCGAATAATCCCATGTTTATTTCGTGGGCACACTTGTTTCAAGTATTTAATTTATTTTTTTAAAGAATTTTAAGAAAATCTAATAAAATGACTCATTTATGAAGTTTCTTAAGCCAACAAAATTAAATGGTTTTGTTTGTGTCACATATATGTCAATTGGTTTGTTTTGATTTCACTCTGCGCAACTGCGCAGTAACAGCGAGCAGTGTTGCTATCACATTTATTTTATTGGAAGCGATACGCTATTAGGAAAAATACTATACTCTTCTTTTACGAAATCCACTACAGTGAACTAAATAAAGTATCATAAGGTATTTCGATTTATTTATTTTTTCCTACGCAACGCATTTTTTATACACAACGACTAAAGATAGGTTTTAATTTCCCTCTAGCGAAAAATTCCTTAAATAAATTTTTGTACCAATCATTTTCATTCGTACTGTATACATTTTACACGTTTTCTGACATTCGCCTTATCATAGTTGAGGTTAGGTATTCATTCTATCAGCTGTTCTCCCATTCCACTTGCACGCACAAACAATTGCATCACGACTCTCCCGGCTAGCACAATCGTGATGACAATTTGTATATATTTTTAATTAATATTACTATTAAATATAATAAAGGATCGTGTTGATAGTTTTGCTAGGTGTGTAAATTATTGTGAAGTATGCAAAATTCTAAATGTAGTATTAATTTACTTAATACTCTCACGCGAAATCTCAATCTACGTGCATCAACATCTCATTCGCCACTAAACGTAACCACTCAGATTGCGACCAAATATGTGCACCTCAGCAGTTATGTACAAGCGCGCAATAAGAAGACTGGACCACAGCATGTTTCCACACTTTTCAAACCCGTGCCAATGCCACGAAATGCAGATGAACATGATGTGGGTGCAGAAATGGTTGGCAAACTGGACAAAGCAGAATTGTTGAAAATTCTCAACAAATTTACGCAAAAACGAGAAATCAAACTCCTATGTGTAGAAAATGGACTTGATAGTGAGTTTCTTATAATTAATCATTTGTGAATTAACTAATTGTCGATTTCCAATAGCTTACTTGCAACAACAAGCATTTGCCTCATTTCGCCGTTACTGTATTGAGGCAGAAAACCTTCCAGTGGACCTGCACATTACCGTTAGTGATATACAACATAATGCGGGGCACATAGATGACATATTTCCATATTTCTTGAGGCACGCTAAAACCATCTTTCCTCATTTAGACTGTATGGATGACTTGAAGAAAATCTCTGATCTACGTACACCAGCTAATTGGTACCCGAGTGCACGCGCAATTACCCGCAAAATCGTATTTCATGCGGGACCGACAAATTCTGGAAAAACATATCATGCTATGGAACGTTTTTTGATCGCAAAAACTGGAGTATATTGTGGTCCTCTAAAACTACTAGCCACTGAGGTGTTCAATAAAGCTAATGATAGGGTAATAAACAGTTATTTTATTAAAAAATTTAAATAAAATATGCTTTTACAATACAGGGTACAGCCTGTGATCTTGTTACGGGTGAGGAACGTAAATTTGGTATTAATGAAGATACGCCAGCAAATCATGTAGCTTGTACTGTAGAGATGACTTCCGTAAACACGCCTTGTAAGTTTAATAAATATTTGTTTTGTTCTAATGGCTGTAAATAATTACCATTTGCCACCAGATGAAGTTGCTGTTATTGATGAAATACAACAGTTGCGGGACCCGCAACGTGGCTGGGCTTGGACTCGTGCCTTTCTTGGGCTTATCGCTGATGAGGTGCACGTTTGTGGTGAGTCTGGTTCTTTGGAACTACTGCAAAAAATTTGTGAAACTACAAACGAAACTGTGGAAGTGCACAACTACGAGAGGCTTACCGAACTAACCATTGAGGATTCACCATTAGGAAGCCTGGACAATGTGCAGCCAGGTGATTGCATTGTGTGTTTCAGTAAAAACGACATTTACTCAGTGTCGCGCGAAATTGAAGCGAGGTAAAAAGTTACATAGCAAAACTAAAAACAAAATTTAATTACACTAACAATAATTATAGAGGCAAAGAGGTAGCTGTCATATATGGCGGATTACCACCAGGCACTAAGTTGGCGCAAGCAGCAAAGTTCAATGACCCCGACAATAGCTGTAAAGTGATGGTCGCAACGGATGCGATCGGTATGGGCCTGAATCTGTAAGTTATGTTTAATCACTGTTTACATATATTTATTTATTTGATTGTATGCATTATAGGAGCATACGCCGCATAATCTTTTACTCAATAATCAAACCCTCAATGAACGAAAAAGGTGAACGTGAACTTGATACAATCTCAATATCTTCAGCTCTGCAGATTGCCGGTCGCGCTGGACGTTTTCGTACGCAGTGGGAGCATGGTTATGTGACCACTTTTAAAGCGGACGATTTACAGACCTTACGCAAAATTTTAACTCTGAAACCTGAACCTCTAAAACAAGCTGGACTGCATCCTACCGCCGAACAAATAGAGCTGTACGCTTACCATTTGCCAAAATCCACACTTAGCAATCTGATGGTTTGTGACAAAATGATTTACCAAAATACTGGTTTCCATATAACTGTTTCTTTTTTATTATTATAACTTTTTTTTTTATACCGTTATAGGATATATTTGTTAATCTGTGCACAGTTGACGACTCGTTATACTTCATGTGCAATATTGAAGATTTTAAGTTTTTAGCTGAGATGATTGAACACGTTCCGCTGCCACTTCGTGCCCGCTATGTGTTCTGTTGTGCGCCCATAAACAAAAAGATGCCTTTTGTGTGCTCCATGTTTCTTAAGGTACTACTATCTTACAGACATTTAATGTTGATTAATATTATTTTAAAATGCTTTCTACAGATTGCCAGACAGTATAGCCGCAATGAACCAATCACTTTCGACTTCATCACACGGAATTGTGGTTGGCCCTTTGCCTTACCCAAAACCATCATTGACCTTATGCACCTGGAATCGGTATTCGATGTGATGGATCTATATTTATGGTTGAGTTATCGTTTTATGGATTTATTCCCCGACGCAGCAGCAGTACGTGTGGCGCAGAAGGAACTTGATGACATAATACAGCAAGGTGTATTTCAAATTACGCGGTTGCTGAAGAATTCCGAAGCCAGTCAGAGTGCGGCCGATGGCGATATGACATATAATATACGAAGATCAACATATATGCGTGGTAAGCAGTGATATTTTTCACATTTTCACAGAAATTATTTGTTATGTGTAAAACTTTAATTTCTGTTACATAGAACCACGTATTTCAAACTCCTCACGTGGTCGCCTAACAGACCGTTTAATCGCTCAAGGTCTGCTAACGCCTGGTATGCTGAGTGAACTGCGAAAAGAATGGGATGCACAGCAACAATCGCTAGCGCAGTCCACAAACGAAAGCGCCTTCAATACGGACGATGAAGAAAACAATAATGAGTTCAAGAAGATGCGACGAAAGCGGCGCAAGTGAATTGCAAATAAATTAATACAAAGAAAAACAGACTTTATTTATGTATAGTTTCTCATTTGTATGTATTTAATTGCGAATAATTATATAAATAATTAATTTCTAATATACGTAACTGTTAATCGTTACATCGCTCCAACAAATAATAAAAAAGGCAGGCAAACAGAATAATAGAACAATTTCAACATATTCGTTTTGTTTATACCCTAAACAGGGTGTATTATGTTTGCCGCCAAGTTTGTAACACCCAGAAGGAAACAACTTTCATTGTGATTTACGTGAATACCTGTCGGCGACGGCCTAACCTCATAGTGCTCAAAAGCACAACGGATCAAAACAATACGTTTATCAGCATCCCGAACAACGCAATCTATGTGCAAGCATTATTTGGATATCAATTGGTAAGGTGAAAGGGAAATCTATTGCACCTTGGTCGGGTTCGTGCTATAAGTCCGTCACCCGGTCACAATGTGGCTCCACCCAATGAGCAGATTGAACCGAAATCTAAGAGCTCCAGATTTAAGTATCCGGTAAGACCTTGTAACCGAAGCTACTGCCAGTTGAGCAGCCATCAAACTCAACGACTGGTGACATTTGTCGCTTGAACTTCAAATGTCTTTTCATTAGAAGGAATCTCATTCAAAGTCTATAATATCAATTAAGCTTTACTGCGGGCAAACTCCACCAGAAGAAAACGTTTGATACCCTATAAATGTGTATATAATAATCAGCGTGGCGGGCTGAGTCGATTTAACTATCCATTTGGCTGTATATCGAATTACTCCTTCAGTTTTGAGATAAGAATCTGAAATTTTACACACCTTGTCTTCTTAAAAAACTTCTCATTCGTCATAGCATATGAGTAGCTGGCATACAAAGTGACCGATCAAAATCAACTAATTGTATGGAAAACTTTTTTATTTGATGATATGTCTTCACGAAATTTGGCTTAGACTATTCTCAAAAGCTGAATTAATTTCAATGTATACGCTTCGAAAACTGACGAAACCGAGTCCTTATATGGACAACTCTTTTATTTGACAAAATATCTGCAAGAAATTATCACACCAAGGCAACGCTACAATCTCCGAAGAAATTTTTCAGGTCGAACCACATACCATATGGCTGCCATACAAACTGACCGTTCAGTATGCTTCAGTGCTTGTCTGGAAACTTTTTATTTGTAAAGGCCATTTCTACTTCGGTCGAAGTTAATGTTGTTCTTTTTCAAAATATGTACTGAAAACTGAATTATTCATTTGGCTTACATACATATGTCCTATTGATAAGTATCTACTTGTAGCATCTGATATACCAGATAACGTAAAATAATGTAAATAAAAATAACAGTTTTGTTCTTTTCATCTTTTTATTATCCATTCATTGGCAAAATGATCATTATCTTCATTTTTAATTTGTATCATTAGTTCGTTATGGGCTTTAAGTTACACAGAAATTATAAAGATTAAAATATTTGTTTTGTTTATTTTCTTGTTAACATTAGGATACAAAAAATGGCTTTAATTAGTTTTTACACAATATGTACTGACTTTTGTTTCATTGTTCTATGCATAATTCGACAGAACGTGAAAAATTTAATGACTAATACTAAAAAAGGTTTGCAAATAACATTTCTCTTAACTTCCTTGCAGATTTTAAATATTATTAAATTAAAAAAATGAACTACGTACTTCTTTATATTCGCATTATAATTTTTATGTAGAAATAAGCAATATTTCTCACATTTATTTGTTATTGTTTTTAACATTAAAAACTTAAAGGCATTGTTATTTGGCTTCAGCAATGTGCTAAGCATATATAAGTGTTAAAATTTGGTGAACAAATTGTTAGAGTGTAAATTAAAACATTAGTTGATGCTATCTCCTTATAATTTCATATGTTCGTTATGTAATGCATTTTTCGTGTTTATACATACAAGTATATATGATATAACAGAAATTTCAAATTCATATATTAATTGCTGTATGACAAAGTACCAGTATGTGTATGTGTAGGTAATAAAGTATATATTTAAAAAAATCGCATAGCACAAAGTAATAGTTATTAATCAGTTGCTTATAAAAAAATATTGGTTTTCGTTTCAAATTACGACAGTCTCAAGACACACTTCAGTTCAAGTGAGCAGCAGGACAATTAGCGCACTAACTCAGTGATTGCAATTATCCTGTAAAGCAACAATGTATATGATGACCACTTCACATGCACATATTTGTATATACTTTAGGGTGTCCGTTATTTTCCAAATTGATTCTTTCAAACGCTTCATGAAGTTTCAGTCTTTGCCCTAAGAATAAGGATCCAATGTAAACAAGCGCTTTATTTTCAATTTAAACCGTATCTAAATTATATTCCTTTTCCCTTGTATACATTTTTTGATATTTGGCGTTAAGCAAACAACTTGGAACATTTTCAGCTGTACAAAAAAGCTATAAATTATTTTTTTTTGTATAAAAATACCTTCCTTTAAAAGTTATACGCAGTTAAAGTTTTACATAACATGATCTGAGTATTCATACAGTGATACATTTGATGCATAATTTTAATTGCGTATAACTTTTGAAGTATTGTTTTTACAAAAAAAAATTGCCAAAGCCTTTTTTGTAGAGCGAAACATTTTGTATTAATATATAATTTCTTTAAGTTGTAAGTTTATTTGCATTGGAGATAAAAAATGTATTGCGAAAATCAAAAAATCCTTGGTAAAATGGAAAAGTAAAATGATTTAGGCACAGTTTAAATGAAAATAAAGAGCTTTTTTACATTTGATTATGATTTTTAGGGCAAAAACTGAAGCTGCAGAGTGCGTTTGCAAAGTAATTGAACTTGGTAATTAACGGACCACCTAATGTAGTTATGTTAAATAAATGGTATGTATATGTTAAGCAGAGTTCTTCTTCATATTATTATATATGTAGATATACTTCATATTATATATATATATATATATATATATGTATGTATATTATTTTTTAAATTTACCGCTAAGTACGTTAATTTGATTACTTTGTTACAATTACTTCAATTATAATAGTTTTTTCTGTGTCTATACCTAGAAAGTGTTGATTAGAGAGCAACAATGCATGGTGTTCCATAAAAAATTCTTTAGGGAGGGTTCGGATATTAGATAGTGCTGACTTTTTAAACGGTTGTTTTTTATGAAATATATGAATACACTACTTAAATAGCCATGTAAATACTTTTGACATACTTGTACATATAAATATGCGGATAACAGCAATAAAAAACATTTAGGCCGCTTTGGGTCATATTAAAAAACACATCTATAGTCTTGAATATAAAAATAACTTCATTTCGCTAAAAATGTATTTTAAAAAAAATTTAACATTATCTTTTTAACGGCTTAAAACGACTTGGAATAGCTTAATGAGCCATTGCAAGAAAAAGTTCCATTTTTTGTATTTCTCACAGACTTTCCTTCAATAATACAATACAATACTTTCAAATTTTTTGTCTCCTTTTGTGGCTATCTGCTCACATTTTTTCCAAACTTATTTGTACTTCTAATTTATGTATGTATATATGTATTTGCTGGGGGGAATGTGCAGCGGCATAGTAGCAACATTCAACATTGATAAGGTAGTAATTACAATTAGTTTGTTAATTAAAGCTTTTATGTATGTTAATTATAATCACGCTAAAAAAAAGTATTTATACTTTTATTTTTGCCATTCGACGCTGGTGACAATACAATTGCAACATCATGTTGCTGTTTTGAACAAGAAAGAAACTCTTTTGTTTTCGTTTTGGAAAAAGTGTGCAACTTAGCAATGAGTTCATTGAGCTCAATTTTAATACATTTCATTCACGTATAGACGGAATTGTAGCCATACCCTGACTAACAGTACATTTTACTAACAATTTGGTATTTGTTCAATATAATGCAAAATGTTTCGTTAGCACTTTGTCACTTGTACCAAGTATACATTCGACATGACCTGTTACAACATCATCATTTTATACATAACAATGCATTTTTTTTTTTTTAGTTTTTAATTTGATTTCTGTTTCTTAACTTTTCCAGAAAATTCCATAAATATTTCATCTAATACTTTTCATATTTAGTGGACACTGCTCACCACATTTTCATAATCTAAATACTTGTGTTTTAATAGAAACTACCTTCTAATGTTCCATTACTTTTTTACTTAAATATCCAGATATTTGATAAATTGTTTTTATGCCATAAACTCTTGCAATATTGTTCACATAACTTCCACCCTTCAAGTACAATTTTGTGCGTATCCTGTAGATTTCTTAACATCTTCTAACTGCATTTTCATATTTGCTTACTTATATTTATTTATGTATGTATGTATATTAACTTTTTCAACTTTTCAAGGTACTAAGTTGCAATAATACTTGGAAAAAAATTACAAAAAAGCCATTTGTCAACAGGAAATCCTCTAGAAAGCAAAGGAAAAGTATTAATGAAGTAAATTTAACTTGCAACAAGAAAAAAACGTAGGCCACGGTTGCACCTGGTTGCATCTATAATACCCTTCCATAAGAACTTGATTTTGATCGTTCAGTTTGTATGGCAGCTATATACTATAGTGGTTCGATCTATACAATTTATTTAGAAATTGTAACGCAAGCTTGGACATTAATCCATGTCAAATGTGAAGATATCTTGTCAAATAAAAAGCTTTTACGTACAAGGCCTGGATTTTAATGGATAATTTTGTATGGTAACTATACGCTACAAGTATATAGATCCGATCTGGACAATTTAAGGAGATTGTAACGTTGTCTTTTAAAATAGTTCATGTCAAATTTCGTGAAGATATCTTATCAAATATAAAAGTTTTCCATACAAGGGCATGATTTTAATGGGTTTAGTTTGTATAGCAGCTTCTTGAAAGGAAAAGGACGGTGCAAAATTTCAGACATCTCAAAAACTGAGGGGCTAGTTCGCGTATATACAGACAAACGTACAGATTGACGCCGAAGATTTATATATATACAAATGCTTAATAGGGTCTCCCACGTTTCCTTCTGGGTATAACAAACTTCGTGGCATACTTAATATACTCTGTTCTGGGTATAATTATTTGTCAACAGAAGACTTGCAAAAAAATGTCGAAGCAAATATTCAGTGTTTCCTCGTATTACTTTCTTACTCAAAGAAAATACCGCTGAATAGTCAAAGTAAAGTTATAGAACGCTTTCTACAAATAAAATTTTACAAAATAACACCAACATCTTACTGCGGAAATCTCCTATTACTGCAAAATGGCTGCTTGTGAAACAACTCAAAACAAATTAATTCTCAACAGAAATTTGTACTTAAGTGCCAATTCCAGTTTAACCGCCAGTTATTGCCATTTATGCATTAAGACATTTATATATATTTTAAATTTGCTTTTTAGAACAAATTGTTTTTGTTTTCTTTTACGGAAATATATAAAAATGTGTGACAGATTATTAATTTATTTAAAAATCGAATATACTCATCAATTTTTAAGCTGGTGACACACCTATAATGAAATGCAACATTAAAAATTTGTAAAAATTAGCACATAAAGATATTTAAGTTTCACCTAAGTATGTACTATGTATGTATTAAAATATAGGCAAATACTACATTAAGTATATTTGTAGCCATAAATCGGTATTTATAATATGCATTATTGTGTATTTCTTAATATTTTAGTTTGTATTTGTGTATACTTTATTTATTCCGTATAAAAAAGATATTTAACTTACATTGTTTTTTTTTTATTATTTTAAGTCTCTTGGGAATATACTCGTATGTATGTTTTTTTTTTATTCTTTTTTTTTTTGGGTTACTAACCAATAAAATAGATATATTAAGCTAACATTTTTATTATATTTCCCTTAATTTTTACTTTGTAATGCATTATTATATAAAAAAAAAATTTAGTTAGAAATAACAAAGTTAGCTAAGGATGTTTAAGTTTTTCTTTTTATGTATAAATTCTCATATCTTTTAAATTTTCTTCTGTTTTTGGTTTTTGACTATTTCAAATTTGCACACAAACGCTTTTATATTTCAGTTAGTGCATATATGTATGCATATGAGTAAAGTTCTTTAGCTAGTTAGTAAATACTTTATTTAACGAATTTATGCCTTTCATTTTGATTAAAAATTCTCATTCTCATTACCTACCATTACTTGTAACTGTCCTTCACAAATACGAGTATATACATTTTTTAATTGTGTGCCAAACAAGCACTCGAAAAAAATTTACCACATTAGTGTGCAGTGGCTATTGCAAAGCTGCGAAATTAATATTAACATAACTTCACTTTCAGCTTTAAACTTCATGCAACCCACGCTTAAATATTTTTCTTTTCTTTCTTGTAAAAAAATATCTCTTATGATTTGTAAGAGATTTTCAAAACTTCGAGAGAGAACTCTGATAGTTAGAGTTTAATCCTCAACCAAACGATATTATCAAGTGATCTAGACTTTTCTATTGCCATTTTGAGTTCGACACTAATTGTGAAATTTTTTTTTTACCGCTAGTGTTAAAGCAGATAAATGAATTAATACCTAGCCTAAAAATAAAATCTTCAAAAATACTAAAATAGTTTATCTTCAAAAATAACTAAAATTTTAAATTAATAATTCCAATACTTTTTGAGTTACAACCTTTTCAAGTGTAGCCGTCAATAGTCAATGTAGGCAATCAGTTTATCTTAAAACGCATTTTCTTGAAACCGCTGTTTTTCGAATTTGCTGCAGTGATTACTCGGAGTCAATTGATCCGAACACTATTAACTTTTTGCCAAATTTTGTATATAGTTTCTCCATACAATGGCCTGCCAGTTGTTTGATTTTACCAAAATTAGAAGTTTGGCAGGCCAAAAACAGATAAATTTTGTCTATAATTCAATTTTAAAAACTTGTTTTTTTTTAACGACGCATTTTTATTAATTTTTGTCTTTCGTAGAACATTATATAGATAATATCTTCTAGTAACGGATTGTTATTATATTGTTACTGCAGCAGTGGAACACCTTTTTTTGGCGCCGTCGGGAATCGCGCGTATTTTGAAAAATATTTGTATTCTTAAAATATGTATAAATATACGCTTAAACCGTAAGTTTTTATTAGTTTAGTATAGTACTTTATTTTTAATCTCAAAAATCGCCTGATTTAGGCTGTCCCTCCCCTCTCAAGTCAGAATTTTTGTATTCTGAATTTCTTTTGAATTTGTTAATATTTTTTTAAATCTGAAAAATCAAATATAGCAAGAATAAAATTTCAACGAAATAGGTTGCATGCAGTTAAAATAAGCGAAGTAAATTCCCTTATAATATTAAATTTAGTTTTAAATTTTATTAAAAGCAGTTCGAGCATTTTTAAGGCATTTGAAATTATATTTACCACGATTCATAAGTGTAGTAAAATATATGTAATAAAAAAAAAGAATTAAAAAGCTTATCGATCGATTTAATAATTCAGTTATAATTTTTGTTTGATATGATAAATTTTGTGATTTTTTGGTTTAATTACATGTATATAATAATACCACATATTAAATTGCAAGAACATACAACTCATAGAGTTCGTTACAAAAAATTTCAGAATTTGCAATTAATCGAAATATCGCTGCTTAAACTTAAAAAAAAAAAAGTGAAATTTCATAAAGTTGTCAGCTTATTTTCTTCGTAAGAGCAAGTTAAGCAAACTGCTGAATTGTTGCTGCACCAAAAATCCCTAGTAAATTTCTTCGCCTCTATATCCAAATATTGTTAATAATATTTTAGCAAATACATTTGATTTTCTCAATAAATACTCATTCGCATATCACAAAATTTCATATACATTATTCTGAATCAATCAACGGCAATGCTGATCCAGATATTTAGATCCTTACAAAACAACAAATTCTCTTATTCAGTTCATTAACAGGTTTCTTATTTACCATAGAGCATTATTTGTATGAAATTCCAGTTTTATCAGGTTACCAATCTCTTATCTAATGTCTCTTGTACTCGTTTAGTATTATTACTTCGCTACCAAAATATTTAATGTGCGTAATTTGTTTACTAGTAAAGTGTAATATTTTACTTAAATATGGAGTATTTTCCTTTTTATTTGATTTATTCACGTTTTTTTTTATTCTTTCCTTATTTGGAATTTAAAGTGACAATACTCGTTTTAGCTTTGTCATTTTCTGCAACAGTATTTACAGAAAACTACCTTTGCTATAGAAATTTTCATTTGGTTATGTTTTATGTTTCGTAAACACACAAAAAATTTCCGTCGTGTGGTTTACATTACAAAAATGTTGCTTGGTTATACCCAATTCTCTAAACAAAGTCGAGCTCTAAGCCAGCCTCAATGTTGACGGCAACCGCTTTGTCCGGCACATTACCAATATCACGGTTCACCTCGACTTCCTCCACCTCCTCCTTCAACTTCTTCGATTTGGACTTATCCTTCGTCGCAAAGCCTAATATTCCTAAGGCGCTGCCGCGACGAGAAGATTGTCCCAACTGCTCGAATCAGGAATCCACTAGCACATGCCATCGTGCTAATAGCTCACCCTTGGCTAAGTCGCGTACATCCGCCCAGTGCGCTACCTCTTCTGGTCCGGACGAGTTTAGACCCATACTAAACCAGCCGACCATTTCATTCTTTTTCATATTACGTTTCGCATAAACGGAAACCATAAGCGTCACATCGTTCAACTGGAAAAGTGCCACCTTTAACGAGTATAACGGTAATTGTTAGTAAAAATTAAAGCAACAAAAATGAGCTACATACTTGAAAGACGAAGGTCTCCTTAAAGAGCGGATGTGGTTGGCCGCGTCTCGTTGATGTTTTCGCTCGCGATATCTCTTGCCCTATACTACTAACTAAGCACAGCTTAACATACGTGTCGGGCGCCTTATTCATTGATAAACTACGAAAATGACTACCCTTGACAATTTCCACTGTCAAACGTCCTGTGACGCCGTTATAACCTAAACCTAAGAGTAGTTCCGGCACACCACCGTGTTGCATCGATGTGGTCGAACCGGCACTATCTGATCGCGCCAAACTTAACAAATCACTATTTGAACCCAAGACCTATAAAGCAGCATAAGAGTAAAGATATTTTGAAGTTATTTTAAATTATCAGAGAAAGATTTGGATACAAAAATACTTACAGAAGCCGTACTCCTTGGCTCCAATGGTAGCCACAAATTCGTCTCCAACTGTAAATCTATTGTGGCGAAACTAACATACGCCTCGCCGATTAGTCGTTCTTTCCGTAAACGTTCGCAACCGTATATTCGTACACGCAGACCCATGTTATTAACCTCCTCTGGATTGACTCGATGTAACAGAAAACTCTCCATATATTGTGGATTCTCGCCCGAGCGTATTTTAGTCTTATGCTTTTGCTTCTTATTTGGCAACATAAGAAGACGGACCTGAAATTATGATTTGGGTTTAAAAACTATAGCTAAGTAAATTTCAAAGTTGACTAATAACTATAGTTTTAAGTAATCGCAATCGATGGATAGGAAAAGCCTAAGCTGTACAAAGTTATAGGTAGCTTTTTCAAAGCATCTTCGAATGAAACATATTTCTAAGAGGTGAATAAACTTTTAAAATGATATAGGAGCTTTTTCTAAAAAGGCCAAAACAGCTTAAGAGCTTTCTTGGTTAGAGTTTTGATGGACTTAACCGATCGAAATAAATACTACAAAAAATACAGGATGAGAACATAAGCAATCAATAACAGCATGTTTCAGTAATCTTTATACTTGTATGTTTTGGCAGTGCGTTAAGCTTGTGAAGCTTTCAATGTTATGAGTTACTTCTTGAGTTTGGCCTATTAATATACAAAAAAGCCTACGATTTTCATTACTTAACGACGATCTTTATTACTTAAATGATTTTTTTTTTTGTGAAATTTTGTGATTGGTTAACCTCTTTTTACAAACCTATATTCTCTTGAGGTAAGTGAGATTATGAACCCTACTACGAAAATAATGTACGCAATCTATTGATTTTTTAGTGCTTGCTCATTAGAAATCTCATTAAATGAATCCGCATAATACGTCGGAAAACTAAATTTTTCTACAATTCAAAAGTTAAATCACCTGCGTATGCGTTGTCTGTCCATTGCCCAAAGTGGGTAGACCGCGGGCTTGCATCACGTGCACAGTCATCTTACGCATTGGTGCATCGTACAGCAAAGAGATTTCGATACTGCCACTTTTACCATAGAACTGATTCTGCACCGAAGTGTCGTCCGATTTGATGGAACGCAAATCGCTGGTGTCGAAAAGTGGTTCCTACAAAGTATCCAATAAAATGGTGAAACAATGTGAGGTAAATAGTTGTGGACTCGTAAACTTACATCTTCGTTATTATTATTACTGCTGTTATGAATATTATTATTATTGCTATGCAAATCAGGCACATCATCTAAACTGTCTTGACGCGCAGACGTCGTCGATATCTTCTGATATCTGCCGCTACTGCTATTACTGCTGGTTTTTGGCAAATCCGCACGATTATCGATACGCGACTCCTTCAGCGAAGATGAAGCGCTGCATTCACTCGATTTATTCGTGCCGCCATTGCTTTGAAGACGTTCTGCGAATTATTTGAATGCTTCTTAGAATATTTTTATTAAAATAAATTAAGATCAGTTGTTACCTTTTCTGTCACCGGTCAAAATACCCGTATGACTGTCGACCGAGGCCTTCTCCGAGTCATTCGAACTGCACTCACTATGCGAGGACGGAATACCGACTTTACCACGCTCGGCTATGGCCAAAGGATCTCGCGCCGGATCGAAGCGTGGCGTTATCGTAACGCGCTGCAATTCGTTCGGTGTATAATTGAAGCTTTGTTGGGGATTTGGCGGTGACGGTGGCAGATACGATGACTGCTGGTGCACACCGTAGCTATTGAAATTACCGTTCGTTGACAAATTACGTGACTGCTGCAAGCGTAAGCGGCGCAATATATCTTCCTCAGAATCTGAGCTGGTATTATCATAACGGCGTTTGCGTGCTATAGAATAATGTAGAAATTATTTATGTACAACCGATTAATTTTTTTTTTTTTAATTAATTTCAATTAATTTCTTTACTTAATTATTTGTGATTATACTCACACTTACACATTTTTTGCGTGTATTTGAATGCGTTTATCTTCTCATCGCAACAATTTAGACCGTGTCGAGCATGAAAACACCATTTGCGATGTACGTAAAGGAAAAATAAAAACATCAAAGTGATGACGCCAAAAAGCGCACCCAATACAGTCGTTAACTCAACGGTTCCTTGAGTGAAAAGAGATAATTTAAGAAACGGCATAAATAATGGTGTACAAATAAAACTGGCATATTTAATTAAGCAACAATAAAAGTAATGCGTTTAAACACGAATGCCCTTCAGGTTGTATGGACTTTCGTGTGTGTGAATATGTGTATGTATGTATGGATGTATGTGTGTCGTACTCACTTTCGAATTGCCTGGCTAGCATAACAAACAAAATATTAACCAGACAATGCCGCCAAAGGAAGGAAGTGTGAACACTACAACTGCTAACAATTAACTGTTTAGCTATTGTACCGTTCACCTGTTTCGACCAACTGCGCACCGCGGTATTTCGTTAAAACTCTGCTAACCGCAATAATGGAAATTCCCATAAAAATAATAGCAGACAATGAAAGGGAAAATCGAATTTACTCGTTTCACTAATGACGTGTTGTCAGTAGGTGAGTAGGTTCAATTGACATACAAAAACGATAGTATATATTATATGATAAGTATACATATGTATATAGTATAATAGATATAATATAATTACCAATAGTCTTCATAATTGAAGCGATCAGAGTTGTATCTATTAAAGTGTTAAAAATAATAAAAACCAACCAAGCTCCCGGAGCTTCAGGCGTATCACTATCGATATGTCTGGCGTTGACCTGATGGAACACAATTCCTCTCTTGCCCGAATTGAAACTTTGGCCGTAGGGAGCAGCTCATAGTAGATGAATTCTTGCCAATCCCACCAAAAACATTGCAAAAAGTTCCTGACCGTCAATCCTAACTCGGCTATCGTTAGCGCCAGCTCACCGCGAATTGACCACGATCATTTTTGCTAGACATTCACGTAGGTGACTCAGATTTCAACCGCGTCAGAAATGGTTTATTGGATTGTGAATTCCAGAACGTGGTGCAACCATGACACCAAAATCGAGGGAACGAAATCAACGAAACCGAAATTTGCGCGTGATTGGGTATTACAATATCATCACTATTCACATTTTCTGCCGCTTGGCTTGCGTTTTTGTCTTTATCGTAGAAAAGTTGTAAAACTTGTTGGTTTCCTCTTTGATGCGTGTTCAAGCAATACTGGGTCAAGCGATCACGAAGCTGTCTGAGCAGTACAAAATCTTACCTTTCTAATGTCATATATTTATGCAACGCGAGAAACGGTTTACCAAAGTCGTCTATTAGAAAAATAATCGATATAGAATCATTTTCTATATACATATATATGAATCTTTCTATATATCTTTCAAGATGTACTCCCTTTCTCTTCTTGATTTTTGAAAGCCTAGAGCTGATGCATCGAAATCTTTAATTGTGTTTAAAACGCTGAACGCTCCCTTTGGTGATTCGACAGATCTTAATTATAACCTTAATATATAATTTGGCAACAACTATCAGTATCGGAATTATATTTTCTACCGTATTTACGCCCACTAGAAAATAATTCTAGCCTAATTATTATTTGTTTTGCAGCTTAATTTCAGAAGCACTTTTATTGTGATTGCAACATATTTGGCGCTTACTACTCTTCTAGTTACTTGACTGCGTTCTTCCTATCATTTATGATATCTGCCCTTGGAATAACCCATACATTTTAAGCCAAGCTCGAGAAATTTTTGAAGAATATTTTTAATTGCTTGGAAATATGCTTGGATGTATGCCACTGTCTGCATTAGGGTGACCCATAAGAAATACGTTTTTCTTTATTGATATATTGTTCTGCTTAGCGCTCATATGCATGTCTAATCTGGTGCAGAATCATTTTTTCGAATTTCCTCATTTATGTGTTATTTTTTCGCAAAATATAATCATATTTTTTGCCAATACAATTTTTTCACAGTTTTTTAACAGATATTACTTCGAGATCTGATCTTTTAATTTACGATATCTGGAACACGCCACTGTTGAACTCAGTGACTAATTTGATTTACAGTGTATAGCATGTTTCTAATTAAAATAATAACAACTTAGTATTTTTTTAATTTCAGCTAATTCATGGCTAAGCCATTATGTGCTGTTGGAACAGCAGCAGTAAAAATATTTGAACCACTTAGCTAAGGGCTAACTGTGCATACACACACACGCACCCAAGCCTGCTGCTTAAACTGAACCAAACGAGACAAAGAGCTGGCGCATGGCGTGCGCAACACACGCATACACACACACACATATATATACATATACTACTTACTCGCGTCAAAGTATCGCATCCAGTTTCAATGTCAAATATACTTGTATATGCCACCGCCTTTGTCTTTGTCTCCGTCTTCGTTTAAAGTGCGTGCGCAACGCGTCCTGCCGCCAACAGTTTATATACAAACAGACGCACCGCTATATACGACATGTGTATGAGTTTACTGAACTGCAATTACACGCAACTAACGGGCGATACACACCGGGGCCACCAATTAATGATGGAGTGGTCAATGTACATAGTATATAAATGCATAGCACAGGTTCACAAGCAGAACTACACTTCGGTTCATATATATATATATATGTGTGTGTGTTGTCAGACAGTCAATCAACTAAGGTGTCGTAAATTTTTAAAAGCCATTAATATTATGTTACTAAATAAGTGTTTATGAGTGTGTTTTTGCATTTATATATGTAACATTTGTTTTATTTTATGAACACCTGTAGTTGACAGTCATTATGTGCTTGTATAAGCTGTGTGTTAAGCTCTAGAAACCGGGTCAAAGTGTTGCAGTACAAAGTTATGCACGCAAAATCCTTTAGGTTCATACATATTTATGTGCATATTATTTTATTAACATTAGATTGATACTTAAAGTCTATTGAGAGTTTTTATAATCTTACTCTCTTAGAAATCCAAATTCGGAGTGCTTATGAAAGCTCAAGAGATCAGAATTTTTGTCTTTCGTTTTATAACTATTTAATTTCAATTTCTATTAGCCATGCTTGTGGTAATCTGAACTCTGACCCCTCTACAATATTTTATAACCATCGACAAGCCTTATTCAAATTTTAAATGCAATAATTTTGGCTATAGTAATAGATATTTCGGGTATTAAACGAAAAAGTAGCACAATTTTTTGAGCCTTAATCTGAACGAAAACCGCTTTACAACACTTGCCCTAATGATCTCGCTCGAAATCAAAATTTATATGGATTTTTTTTCTTGGCGCTTTTGCATCATTGTTTTAGGTCGAGGTTTGGAAAGTTTAAAGCAAAACATTTCTGTTTAATTATAAACACCATCTAGCCATACCGAGGCTGTCTTCGATTCACCATTTCCCTGTTCGTTTTGTTTGCGTGATGCGACTTTGTACAACATTGTGTACATACACAAAAAAACAAACTTATCGTTTTGCTTCGGTAAATCTCTTATAAATTTCTTATTAAAGTGGTGTAACTGATATTGATATATTCAATGCTAAAAAGGTTTGTTTTACACAATTTAGGCCTGTTTATGAATGACTCAACCGACAAATTACTGTCAAAAATTAAAATACTCTACAAATATTTATAACCTAAGCAGGTTATATTAAGTTTGCCATGAAGTTTGTAAGACGCAGAAGATAACGCTCCGACGCTCCCTATTAAGTATGGTATATACCTACATTCATATATGTATAAATGATCAGCGTGACGAGCTGAGTAAATTTAGCCATGTCCGTCTGTCTGTATATGCGAACTAGTCCCTCAGTTTTTGAGAGATCGTCCTAAAATACGGCACATGTCCGTTTCTCTGCAAGAAGTTGCTCATTTGTAGGAGCTGCCGATATCGGACCACTATAGCTTATAGCTACTATACGAACTTTTCAATCAAAATCAAGTCTTCGGTATAAAGATTTTTTATTTCACGAGACATTTTCACAAAATTTGGCACATATTAATGTCCAAGGCAACGCTACAATTTCCGAATATATTGCTGAGATCAGACCACTGGAGCATGTAGCTGTCTTACAAACTGACCAATCAAAATCAAGCTAAAATTCTTTATAAAAGATTAGGTAACCTTAATTCGATTTGAAGGTTATTTATATCAAGCAACTTGGCTAGAAAGAACTAGCGAAACAAGCTTTTCCATTTGTTGTTAACCTTTCACCGGTTACGTTTTAAGATTTAGTTATATATAAGTATTAGCTATAAGTATTATCTATAAGAAGTACACTAGCTAATATTTAAAAATATGACTATCACAAAGTAATATTTTGAAAATTATAAAAATAAATTATATTTGCAATAAATAATTTAAATTTAAATTTTAAATGAAAAATTTAAATGAAATTGCATTATTTGTCAATTACAATTTTCATTGTTTTCCACTCACCATTTAATGAATACGATTCCACGCCGGAAATTACTATCATCTTAGTTCAATTTCAAGCACTTTCTTTGTTTTTGCTTTCAAACTCTTTCACTGCGGTTCGCACGAAATTTGCGCACTGCACAGCTGCAAAATACAAGCAATACCAATAGTACCGTTATAATCTAATGAATTTTGAGATTTAAATATTTTCACACACACACACACCAACACACACATGCGGAAAATTCAATTACGATTACGCAGCTCAGCAAGTGTTTGCTCACACACTCATAGCTGGCTACTTGCCGTGTCGGCTATGTTTATGTTTTTCTTTTGCGTATCGGCACAAATGATAACAAATCAGAGCATTGTTGACATTTCACGCATGCAACAACAATAACACCATCACCACTAACACGCTCAGTATGTACGCATTCCAATGGAATGCTGGCAAAAGACTTTGCACTGGAAAGTTGTGTGAAAGCTTCGTGGAGGGTAGGTGACTCCTTGCAAGCCACAAAGGATACTGAAATGCACACAATCGATTTTTCCAAATGATGTCCATAAAAAAAACTGTAATACGTACACGTAAATAAATTGCTGAAATGTTTTCGCGTAGTTGTAAAATTAATACACACCTTTTATAATTAGCTAAAACTTTAACGCTTAATACTGTTTCGTTCTTGCGAAAATAAAAAATTAAACGAAAATGCACACAACGAAAATCAAAAATTATGTTAATCCGGTTCACGCTGCTGCTTTGCTAGGTACTTTTCACGTAACATTTGTCTACTTTGCACACAATTTCTTCGTTCTGCATGAAATATTTAACAGTTGCTTAAGTTAGCCACACGCTTGGAGAAAACATTTAATAAATTTGGAAATTTCTTTTAGTTTTTAATCACTTCCTTCATGATTTCTAACAAATTTTTGTGTGCGTATTAAAGTAGCAGTGACTCAGATATGTGATTAGTAGCATATGGTGTTGCTGTTAGCTTCTTCTCGTATGACGACCAAAAGCTCGAAAATGCTTCCAATAAGCTCTGCCGTTTGACATATGTCACGAAAGGACAACAGTTGCGCACGAAATGCAAAACAACTGTTGATATGAATTATATATGTAATGTAGCGAAACTTTGGCTATAGACAACCCCCTCGGGACTGTGCGTGGCTTTATCTCTATTCTGAAAATATTGCTGTAAGTAAAAATCCTTTGGTCCCATGACAGTATTTTTATCAGTACTCCATCCTGAAGTCATTTTTTTTTTTGTATCCGTCGAAATGTAGGCAACATATTGCACACATTTCTTCAAATGAGTTTAAAAAAGTATCAACTACTTATTGACAATTTTGAAACTTAAAGAATATTAAAAAATATCGTGGCCTCGTCGTGTGATAAGTACTTATCCCGAAAGCGTCACTATCGAAGGAGATATTTACTATCTCATAGAATTAAATTCTTAATTTAGCGATACGTGTCATTTAAAGGAAAATCGCGTAGTGAAATCAATACGCGCTTGAAGGCTATATACAGTGACTCTGCTCCTTCGATTATGGCCATGAAAAATTGTTTTAACGAGTTTCAACGTGACCGCACATCGATTATGGCAGCAGTCGACGCGATGTGTACCACGACTGCTCACTCCAGGCAACAAGCATAATCGTGTGACCACTTTACAGCTGTGTTCGACAATATTAGGCGCAATTCAAAAAATACGATGCAGCGTTTCCCGTTCGCGGTACTCACCAGAGACCAACGGACAGTCGAAAACGAACCTGCAACAAAGAAAGCAAACACTTTCCTATCAGTCGATATTATGATGACCACCGTAAAATGTGATCTACATGAACTATCTGAGCAAAGTAAAACGATGATGATTATAGGGCTGATTTGACGCTCAATTAAAAAAAACGTTATCTTTGACGAATAAATAAGCTCTCTTTCACTATGACAGTCACCAGCTCACACCTCGGCCATCTGCACAACCAATTTGATCAAAATAAGCTACGGACTGCTATCCAAGGTATTTGGGTAGTTACCTTGCTTGTGCTTTTTTGTTTCCAAACTTGAAAAAATCACTCATCAGAGAAATAAATAATATTTTTGCCCAACCGGCAATTTTTGCTTTATATTGATACAAATCAGTAAGAGATTTTCGATTCTACTGGCACACTTTCATCATTATTTTTAACGAACAAGGGTTTTCGATGTTTATTGGAGAACCAATGAACCGAAGCGAAGCCCTAAAGGGTTATAAAATCATCCAATCAAAACTCATCAATTTTCCATAAACTTTCCAATCATACTCATGTCACATAAATATTTATAAAATTTATAAATTAAATTTAGTTTATGATGAAAACATAGATGGATTTAACAACAACTTTTAGCATACAAAATGCGTCGATGAAAAACTCTCCACTTTGGATGCATCTGATTGCTGGCGGAATCGCGGGAGCTATATCGCGTACGTGCACGGCACCAGCCGATCGAATAAAGGTGTACTTACAGGTAAATAAAAAATACCAATCATTTTTCGGTAAGACTATAAGTCATGCGTGTTATTGTTACAGGTTCAAACGCATAAGACAAGCTTCATGGAATCCGTTCGGTATTTAATTGGCGACGGTGGTGTGCTCAGTATGTGGCGTGGCAATGGCATAAATGTTTTGAAAATTACTCCCGAATCTGCTATCAAATTTGCAGTATACGACGAAAGTAAGCGATTTCTGCGCGGCGTGGACGAGCGCCGTGCTCTAACAATAGGTGAACGTTTTGCTTGCGGCGCTGTGGCGGGTAATGCTTCGCAAACATTCCTTTATCCCATGGATGTATTGAAAACACGATTGGCCTTAGTTAAAACTGGAAAATATTCCGGTGTCATTCCAATGATCAAGAGCATGCTTGAACAAGAGGGTTTACGATCCTTCTACCGTGGTTACAACGCCTTTGCTGTCGGTATTATGCTTTATTGCGGCATTGATTTGGCCGTTTATGAAACAGTTAAGCAAGCATATTTGGATTACAAAGAAACTGAACATACGCTAAACCCTCTGGTGATATTAAGCTGTTGCACATTCTCAAGTACCATTGGACAATTAACAACATATCCACTAGCGCTACTGAGTTCACGACTTCAAGCTAAAAGTAAAGACAAAATAGAATAACTTGCTGACAATCCTAAAATACTTGTACTAAGTATATGATATATGTATTTTTCAGCTGTCTTGAAAAAGCAAGCTTTAAGCGAAAAATGTCTGGATAACAACATAATAATGTCTTTGTGGCAAATTCATCAAAAAGAAGGTATACATGGATTATACCGTGGTATACTTCCTAACTTTATGAAATCTATTCCTTCTGTTTGTATTACTTATATAGTCTATGAGTATATCTTATCTCTTCTAGGTTACAGTATGATATAAAGTTACGAATAATAAGCAATAAACAGAATTACGTACTACATATGTATATATTTTATTAGGGTGGAGCGAAAAAAAATTTTTTTTTAGTTTTAAAGTAAATTTTTGATTTAAAATTTTTATTTTGTAAAAAAAATTTGATAACTGTTCTAGAAGCTGTGGAGAGTCCTCTCTTTGGCCAATTAAAAGTTATTTACTTAACACGACAACATGCTTTCCTTAAGCGTTAAAATAACTTTTGAGTCAAAAACCGTCACATTCGGTAATTTTTATATAAATGTAAAGAGTTTAAACCAAAAATAATTTTTTCTTGTCCAAAAAAAATTTTAACTCGAAATTTACTTTAAAACTGAGAGGGTCGCCTCTAGATGTTAAAAACATTTTTTTTGTCCAAAAATTTTCTTTTTTTATAATGTACAGATTTTACCCTCAGGCTAAGCAAAAAAAAAAAATTTTTTCGCTCCATCCTAGTATATATTGTCTATTGGTTTTTATCACATTGGCAATATGTTACACAGAGTATAATGTTTTTGTTCACTTATATTGACCCGTATTTATCACTTGTATTTAAGACCTAATGTTTATCGCGTTGGATATAGGTTGATATATACCAGTATGATCGAGTGTATGGACGTCTATCAACAAATTGAGATCACGCATAAGATCATGATAATATCATCAAAATAAAGATAACGCCACCCTTAGCTTCTAAACTTTCTATTAAGCGGGATTTACAGTTGATAATGGTTTGACACCACAACAGCGTTGTCAAAAACTGTTACAACAACAGCCGTTAATCAGTTTACAAGGCATTGGCTCTGTTAAGTAGGTATTGGACATAAGCTAAGTAACGTATACGCAATGGTAGTCCATTTTTTCAATGAATCAAATAGCTGCAATAAGTACCTTACTTTAACATTTTTAAAATGTATTAATATTCATATTATTGAAAAATATTGCGTATACTCTAAATTTAATGCCTTCTACAAAGCTCAAGTAATCAAGCACTTTAGTTATCACACCTTTTGCATATATTTGAGATGACTGTAGTTAAAAAATAGTCGTATCAACACATTCCGAGAGTGCTGTCTTATAAGCAAGCGTTATCTTCTTCATTCGTCGGCCAAACAACCCTTTTTCTATAATTCCGCCATTTCGTAAAAAATGTATGTAAAGCTCAAAAAATTAATATAAAGCTTTTCCAATAAGAGTGATATGATTTTTCAAAAAAAAAAAAACCAAAAACACTAATTGTTAAAGAAATTCAAATGTTTTTTGTTTAATGTGAAATACAAGTGCTATAGTTTAGTTCTGAATATAACATCATTTAAATGGCCTCCACGACTTCTTTTGCAGGAACACATTCTATGAACACAATTTTCGGGTACTTTTTCCACTACATCAAGTCATATGTCATAAATAGCACCTTCAATATTGACTTCTAAAGCTTGAAAAGAGTCTGGTTTATTGCTAAATACCAATGACTTCAAATATATATATATTGTGTTAAATCAGAACTTCTTGCAGGTCATTCAATGTCACAATTTCTTGAAATTATCGATTCTCCAAACTTTTCTCGCAACAACTCGGTTGTTGAACATGTTGTGTGGCACGTAGCCCCATCTTGTTGGAACCAGATGTTGTAAAGATCAACTTCTTCTAATTGCGGTCATAGAAGGTTGGTTATCATCGATCTACACCGCTCTCCGTTGACAGTGACGCTGTCACCAGCTTCATTTCGAAAGAAGTACGGACCGATGATGCCATCAGACCAAAAACGACATAAAACTGTCCATTTAGGTGAATGTAATGGTTCTTCATGAATAATTTGTGGCTTTTCTTAGCATCAGAATCGACAGTTTTGTTTATTTACCGCACCACTCAGATGAAAGTGAGCCAATTGGAGAACGATTATTTTGATAATAAAATTAAATAATTTGTAAACGTTGTTGTTGCGTATATCTTTCCATGATGAAATTGTAAACATTAGTGAACACATAGAAAAAAAATTATACATCATGACACATTAAAAATGGCCGACACGATACTTAAAAATCATATCATCCCTATTGGAAAACCCGATACTTTACCAGCAAGTCTGATGTAGATTAAGGTATCGTGTTTTTTTTTTAATTTATCTCCGATAGCACGAGTTCTTATGATAACCGTTGGTCGTAGAGACCCTCTTAAAAGTCGCCAAAACTTTGTATAAAAAGGTCAATCCACATTTTTTAAGTACACTGAAATACATGTTTTCTTTTATTTGCTCCCAGAATAAATTGTAAAAATTAGGCACTTTTCTTGCGTTTAGACTGGCGTAGTCCTTGAAGCAAGAGTTTCATTTTTTTGACACCTTTTCAATTTATATCCTTTTCCGGTAATTTAAACTCATGGATCATCATTTCTCGCCATATTATATAGAGCTAAAGCTTAACACGGTGATCTACGCTAGGTCCCTAAATTGATAACCACCTGCCCGATTTATAACCACATTCAATGTAATGCTTTGCCACTACTAATTTTATTTTGAATTAAATCCTTGTAAAGTTCAAGCGCAAGATGCAGTTTAAGCAGCTACAATTATATTTGCAAATATAAAAACACTACCAAAAATTTTAAATTTGTATTTAATTTTCCATTGCAATTTTATTTTAATTTTTGGCATGCTGGCCTATTCCCATTTCCTTGATGAATGTAAAAAGTGTAAACGAGAATTTAGCAAGCTGCAAGCAATAGAAATAATTAAGATTTTGCTGTTAGAACTTAGACAGTGTCCAGCGTTAAAGCCAAAACTCAAAACTCACCGAAATATTTGTTGCCACATTAATGGGGAACAACTTCATGGCCATCAATTCAATAGACAATTGAGCATGATGCATAAAATATAGAATCACTTTGCGAAAACGCTGATCCTGCTCAACCCAGTTGCAATGGAAAATGGCCAATGGCAATTTCTCGCTCTCTGCCCTCAATTCAGTAGCGAAATAGCAACACGGCGATGTCTGCAATAGAACGCACATGAAGTAGAAAGTCGACGCGATTTGGGTGCTGCGATCGGCGAAAAAGAACATATTCACCATGATCACACACAAAATCGAAGAGATAATTAGGAATTGTGTAAACATTGTTTTGGAAATAATCGGTTCAATTGTAGCCAGCAATCTAATTTTTTTTTGTTTTTTAATTTATAATTAGTTATACATATAGCATTTATATTTTAACTGCAAGCACTAAATCACTCACTCTAGTATCTGTTGATGCGTGACAACACAATCAACCAGCTCATTCAAGTTGTCATCCTTACTCTTCGTAGCATCTGTACCCAAACGATCGACGCGACGCACTAATAATTGTAAATGCGTATTTATAACATAAATATATACCGATCCATATGAATCGTATAGAGATTGATGAAACAATATGAAAAACATTAAGAACAAGTCATAAACTATTTGCCCGAAAAAGTGTAGTGCTGACTGATGCTTATCGAAAAACGGGATCCATATCGAAAGTGGCACTTTACCATTGATTAAGGGCGGTATCACCGTAAATAGCATATACATCAGATATGACGTGCCAAAAAAAAATACCAATCTATTGCCCATGACTGCAGCTTTCCGTATTAAGGCCAGATCTTCGGGTCTGGTATATCGTGCATCCATCATCGCCAAAGTTGGCTCCATGCCGCACAATCGCTTCAAGGCGCTTGTCACCGTTAAACATTTCACTGGTAAGCCTATCAAATTTATACCAGCCTGTAAACCGCTTAGAAATTGTACAGTTGTAAGGATATTTTGAATATATTGTATAACGAAGCCAAGTGTGCCAGTAATTGGTGCAATTAATATGCAGGTTACATTAACCAAAAATGACCACATATAATATAGCGGACCAGCATTTTTTGGTGGGTTTATCCCCACAATAGTACAACCGTTAAAGAAATAGATGAATGCATCCTTTGAAGCAGTATTGCCAATGCCACGTCCAGTTATAAGTTTCAACATCCTCTTGCGTTAAGTAACTTTGCCACAATGGTGAACACCAGCAAACATAGAAAAATCTACTCTGGGCTAGATATTGAAAAATTCGTTTTTATACCCTGAACAGGGTATATTAAGTTTGCCACGAAGGTTGTAACACTCAGAGGGAAACGTCGGAGACCCTATAAAATGTATACATAAAAGAGAAGCATGATGAGCTGAGTTGATTAGTCCGTCTGTTTAATTAAGTTCTTGTATGGAACCTTTGTATTTGTGAAGGGTATTATAGCTTTGGTGCAACCGAAGTTAACGTTTTTTCTTGTTATAGCTAAGAACTTGGCAAATAAGAATTAATTGAACCATGGGCGTCGCTATAAGAAGAATTCTTTTAAAAAATCAGTGACAGGCAGAACATGATGTTTTTCTTATTTTTCTAAACTTAGGTTTATGGTAACCGCAGAATTTTTAAAAATAAGTAGAAATGGAAAGATCTCTAACACTATATCTGATTCGTTTAACTTTTATTTCTGATACCGAGAATTACTCGACTCTCAATGCCGAATTTTTATATTTTTTATGATATAGAAAATTTTCTCACACAAACCCATCAGACGTTCGGTCGTGAGGTCAACCAGCTGGAACAAATCGCCCAAATTGTTAATTGGTGATCCAAATTTACAAAACCCATTGGTGTGGTTAATAAAAACATATTTCTCCTTTTTGTGAGAATGAATAAAAGTAATGAATCTATCATTGGCTCAAAAATCTCTGACTCAAAATTACAAAAAAAAACCCCTTCCTTCCTCTTTCAATTTCTTCACATTAATTTGTGTGGAGTTATTTAGAAATTTTATTATTGATTAGAGTGAAATAATAACTAACGGAAGTGTGGCGAAATCTCAGCAACTGCAATTATTACATATTAATTTTACACATTTATATTCTGTAATAGTTGCGTAATGAATGGTTAAGGCGAAGAAAAATATAAATTGTTAGTTGTGCAACTCTATTCATATAATCTATAAAAAGTAGAACCCTCAATTAGGCAATAAAATTGCACCTCATCAATAAAACTAACCTCAAATTAAAAGTGCGCATGTGTAAGTACTTATGAAGCTATCGGTGCCTTTATATGAAATTTTAAAATAAAAATCTAAAGCCGAAGCGTTTGAACCATCTAGTGGACGCACCCCGATAACTGGGTAACGAAAAAACGTGTTTTTGACCATATTGACATTTTTGTGATTTTTGGTCTATTGGCACGCTCCTAGTTACCCTGCGCGAGTAATTGATTGATATTCGTGAAATTTGCTCTAGCGTATTGACGCTCTTCTGGTGACTTAATAACGAAAGCAATAAATCCCACTATGATAAGATTCTATACCATCCAGAGACTTTTTGTTTGGTACTCTTTCTTTTTAAACCCTGAACAAGGTATAATATGTTTGCCACGAAGTTTGTTACATTCTGAAGGATATAGTCGGAGACGCTATATATATAAGTTCCTCAGATTTTTATATATAAATCTGAAAGTTAGCACCTGTTTTTTTTCTGCCCAAGAAGCTGCTCATTTGTCTGAACCGCGTATATCGCATCACTATAGCATATAGCTGCCAAACAAACAGATCTGATCAAAATCAAGCACTTCTATTGTATGAAAAAAATATTTTAATTGACAAGATATGTTTACGAAATTCGGCCTAGATTATTGTCCAAGGCTACCCAATAAATCCAAACAAACGTGGGCAGATCGGACTACTATAGTATATAGCTGTCATACAAACTGATCTATTACAATGAAGTTAAATATCTTCATACAAGATTTTTCCCCTTTATTAAGCAACCTTACTTCGAAGGTTTTTGATGCGTCTGTGAAGGGTTGAAGGTTTCTTCGCTACAATTGAAGTTAACGTTTTTTCTTATTCCGTTTATTTTTAAAAAATCTTCTAATAACAAGTAAGGAAGGGCTAAGTAAGTGAAATCAAACATTTCATATTCTTGCAACTGGCAAAGATCACTGCCGGGGAAATATCTTTAGGTATTGGCATAACTTTATATTAGAAAATATTGCGAAAGTTAAACATTCATTTTTCGACGATATCGTAAATGGATTGTAATCATATTTGGTATTTCATTAAGTTATATTTTAAGTTATAGACTCACTTAGTTTTATTGCTATATTTTATTTTGCGTTAGCTAAAATTATATTAAAATCATTCTCCAAGGAGATATATGTCATATAAATACAACCGAAGAAACTAAATTTAATATATTGACTTATACTTAATTTCATTAAAATATCAAACATTTTGAACAACTTAAACGGTTTAAAAGTCAGTCGGATATCATCATACAGGGTATATTAGGGAAAAAGAAAGTTCTGGGCTGATTGCATTAATCAGAGAATGTAAATTATAATTTTAATTTACTATAATTCTCTGCATTAACTTTTGACATTGTTCAGATATACTCGATAACATATTTTGAAGAAATTTATATAAATATATAACTCCCACTCCCAAGCATTAAACGACATATTCGGCTAAGGTTTGTTAGAACAACGAAAATCATATGGGAATTGGAGTAATTCGTAGACCAATTTCACATATTTCGGCTGTAAACTATAGTATGCCCAATATTAAACAGATGCTCGCCGAGTATCATTAAGGTACCTCATATACCGTCACCAATATATAAGGAGTAAAATCAAGCGGATGTTTGAAAATCCTGAAATAAGTTATATGGAAACAAGGGCAAGTTTTCACACGAATTTATCCATTTTATGCACAAAGATACATTATTATTGGAAAATTTCTTAATTTAATTAAGATAACTTACATATTGACCGATATATGCGGTATAAAGTCAATTGGAAGTTCGCAATTCGTTATATAAGGGAGTATTGATACGATTCAACCCATTTTTGATATACGGGTATACTATTATCAAGAAAGGATTTTCTCCGAATTTCTTTAATATATCACACATATTAACCGTCATTTTCGATAAAAAAAAAAAGTTCGCGATAGAAACTGTGGGCTGGAATAGTTATAGTCCGATTTTGATAATTTTTGGTCATAAGGGGACACATCTTAAACGACTATTTGTAGAAAATTTTATCCCAATGCCACGACCATTGTCCAATTTTGATAGGGGCTTCTATAAAGATTTTTTGGATCACCTCGGTTGCAAAATTTAGCGCCTGTACCGCTTTTATTATTGAGTGGTCGTACTTTTTGCAATTTTCAACATAACCGTAATATGGGGAGTGAGCGGGGTTATCAGAGATTTGTCCTGAGGAAGTTTGGTTGATTTTTCTTAAGTGGTTTGGGAGATATGTACAATAAATATGTTAGATATAGATTCCCCTCAGTAATGCGATCCGTATTACCAAATAACAGTCTTGCATCTTATTGGTTCGATTCCGCAGTACCAACCCCTCTTGGGTGCCAAGGAATATGTACGTGTACCAAGTTTAACCAGATACATATATCAATTTGTACTCAAGTTATCGCTTGCACGGACGGATAACGTGATAATACCATAGCTTCTCAGAACAAAGGAAGACAAAGTGAAAGAGACAGCACGACGTATTTATGGTTTAATTATGTCTTGATAATAACAATTATATATTTTTAGTCCGAAGAATTCCAAATAAGAGGGTTTATACAAGCACCCCTTACGAAAGAACTCCTTTTAAAGCTTGTTTAGACTTATGGTACACAATGAATTTATAATAAAGTTAGCAAAAATGTGTCAAAACTGATTTTATTAAAATGAATGTTAAAATGCAAATAGTTATTTTGCTATAATTTTTCATTTGGGATTTTCGGGAGTAGCAGATTTATATGTCAGGATTATAGAAATAACGGTAAAAGTTTTGGTAGTTTCTGCGAATCTTAGCAAAAAATGTGGATGTAATATTGATTTGGTCTAACCGATTTATGTGGTAACTGTCTCATTTATTAAACCGCTGAACCCTAATTGCGCAAGATGTATATGTACAGAGAATGTAGATTATTATTATTCTCTGATTTGTATATATGTAAATTGTTCATTAGCCGGTTACTTAACCGAGAGTTGACTTACAGAATAGGTAATGGAATTATTCAATTGTTTGATATTAGCACCCTGTAGTTATACATAGAGGCGCATATGGAAAGCAACCCTGTCTCTCCACTGTCATTTCACGCGGCATACCATCGCGTTCACTTTTTTGGCAATCAGTTGTAAAGGAATTTTATTACAATTTCTTTGCCGGTATCAAAGCATTGTTTAAGGAATATTCATCTTCTCCGACTTTTTAAAGCGATTTATTAATACAGTTATTTTTAAAGCATACTAAAGGACAAATTAATAACAAAATGTTTTGGGGTAAGTTTCTTGAGTAATTGTTGAATAGTCTGCTTTTGTAAGAAACAATTTCACCACGTGTTTTTTTTTTATTCGCGCGGGTCAAAAGCCCCACGCCATCTTTGCAAAAATATTTTAATGGCATTTATCATTCACTATTTAGGATTAAATTTAAAACCAAACCGTAAATATACACAAAAAACAAGCAAACCGTTTCACATTTCTTTGGCGGCTTTGGATACCGATTCTGCATCAGATGAAGGCGGTAACCAAATTTTTATCAACCACGATAATCAGAAATTTTTGATTTGTACATTGCGCAAAGGTAACTGCGAGCAAGTTATGCTGGACCTGAATTTCGGCGAAGGAGATGAAATTTGCTTCCAAAGCATTGGCAAGTCTTAAAAATAATAAATTTTAAACGGATTGTCTGAAATAAGTTTTTTTTTATCTATAAAGGTAGCGGAAATGTTAGTCTTACTGGCTACCTAATTGATAAATTTAACTTTATGGATGATGAAGATGACGATGACGAAGAAGAAGAGGAAGAGCAAGATATACAAGATCTTCGCCAGGCTTTAATAAAAAAAGCCAACGCCAAAAAGGCTAAAAAACCAGCAGTTGAAGAGGAAGATGATGATGAAGATGAAGAAGACAGCGATTTTAATGGAGAAGGTTTAGGTAAGTGATACATATGGTTGAATGAGTACATAAAATAACGCTTTTATTAACAATAGATGAAGTCGAGGAGGACGATGATGATGAGGATGAAGAAGATGGCGAAGGCGAAGGTAAATTTTAATTTTTTTATTACAAATTTAACAAAATATTTATGTGGAAAATATTTCAACAGATGAAGAGGACGATGAAGACGATGATGAAGAGGCCGAAGAAGATGAAGAAAGTGAGGTTGAAGAAGTCCAGCAGCCAAAAGCTAAACAGCCAAAATTGGATAAGCCTCAAAAGCAACAAAATGGGGTTGCAAAAGAAAACCAAGCTACTGTAGATAAAAAGGGCAAGAAGGATAAAAAGGCAAACAAAGTTGAGCAACAGAAGCAACCCCAAAAGAAAGCTGGCGGGGAACGCGTAATAACCGGTGGTGTAAAAATTGAAGATATTCGTATCGGCAATGGACCAGAAGCTAAGTCTGGCAAACGTGCTCAAGTGTATTATGAAGGCAGACTTAAATCTAACAATAAGGTATTCGATAGTTTGAAGACGGGCGCTGGTTTCAAATTTGGTCTTGGCCGTGGCGAGGTCATTAAGGGTTGGGATGTTGGAGTAGCTGGAATGAAAGTTGGCGGAAAACGTCGCATCACTTGTCCACCACATATGGCATACGGCGCACGTGGTTCACCACCAACAATTCCGCCAAACAGCACACTAGTGTTCGAAGTAGAATTGAAGGGCGTGAATTAGAACTAAATATATTCCTTTAATTGTTTTTTTTTTTTTACTTAGCATTTATACATTTGCGGCAGTTCGCATTTACGTTTTTTTATGTTCGTCTTCTTGAGATGCAAATAAGTTAAAAACTAGTTATTCCTTGTATTATCTTCATTATTATTATTCCTTTGCATAAATGTGAAAATGTGCAGTAAGGTAACTAGAACTATCCTGATATATGAGCAACACTCCTTGTGAATAATTAAAAAATAAATACATTCGAAGTACTGTTTTGTAAAATCTCAATTGTTTGATAATTTGAATTTTTTTCAACTTAGTTGAAGTAACCACTTGATTTGTCATTTCAAATTGTAAAAATTCATCCCATCACCATTTCCCCAAACTATTTGTAACGGGATATAAAACATTTCATATTCAATAAAAAATATTACAAATATTTTATTTTTTTAGGTAGTTTATTTAATTTTCATTATTTATTTTGCATATACTACTTTTCTTCTACTTTTTCTGTAGGTTCTTTAGAGTTTTCACTACCGAAAAGTGGTTCTGAAGGATTTTTCCAAAACTCTGCAACATAAGGCAACCGTTCACTAGGATCTGTACTCCAATGATGGATATGACAACGCAATTGCGCCTTTTCCAAATTATTTATGGTAATAGTACAATAAAACTCTTTGGCCTCTTTATTCATATCTGGACCTTCAATACATTCTTTTGGCATAGTAATGCACTCTTCCGGACAATGAATACCGGCCTTTCGAAGGGATGCTCTAATGTGCCAAGGTTCGACAACCCATGGCTGATCCTTATTCATAACCACAGCCAGTCTAAAACGTTCGATAATATTTATCGTCTATGAAAATCAGAATACATTAAAAGTGTTTGTAAATAAATGATAAACACTCTTATACATATGCATATACATACGCGCTGGGCAAATGCTGAGCTATGGTGCACTGTTTTTTTCTCGTCCTCGGTTTTGGTGTACAATGCCATATTTTCTTCTGTTTTGTACACTGCCAAACCTGGCAGCAACAATTTATTATAGGCGAAATTGGGTCTCACCGACACCACATCACCTTTATCACCCACACCTTCCACATACGTTTTTAACACAACTTCTAAATTCGGACGACGTTTCACATTTCTATCCTCGACCAATTCATAGATGAAATGTTTGGCACGCAATTTTTTGGGTTTAGCGTTCGTTTTATGCAACAACGGGTCATATTTGCGCTTCAACACAAAAGTTGTCTAAAAAGAAATATACAGCGCGTAACGCATGCGAGTGCATTGGTTATGTATGTGCTTATATGAAATATCAATGAAATAGATTTAAAGTACCCACCCGCACTTGCTGCTGGACGGTCGCTGCACTTTTAAGTAAATTAATAGAATTACTGCACCAGGATTTCAACATGTTTATTCAAAAAGTTATGTTATTCTTTTTTGCTAATTCTAATTTTAACAAAAAATACAGTGACAGAAAGTAGACTACCGGTGGAACAGCTGTTTCGCATGACATTTCTTATGTAAGCTAAGAAAGTCTCCATTTGCTAAAGCAGAGTTGTTAGTAACAAATACACTCTACATATCCGGTTCAGTGCAAAGGAAATGTTTTGCGTTAACATTCAGTTTTATTTAATTTTTGATTATCATGCATGTATTTGATTGCATATTTGAGTATGAGTATATTTATCACTGAACTTTTATTTTAAAATGTAATTGAAATTCGGTTTAAACATATCCATAATTTAATCAATATATTTTTTTAATAAGTCACAGTACGGTAAAGATTTTAAATAGGTCCTAAAATTATGAGAATTTCTTATTTATTATACAGTTATTTTGAATGTGCAATACCATACGAATAATTGTGCAGAACAAAATAATTTACGACTACTATAGTCAATAATTTAATTATCGTTAAAAAGCAAACGGTAGATATAAAAAATGGTATTACTCTCCATATCCATGTCTCATATTCGATGCAATCGTCTACAACTAATTTTGTACGCCCCTAATGTCATTTGCATATTACATACCTTTCTTTTTACCAACAACAAGTTTGACACTACTTTACACCTTTTCAAACTAAACACTAAAATGTGCACAAAGCAAAGTATTAGTCTAAACGATAAAAGAAACGGAACAAGCCCCAGGTACTTTTCTTAAACTGAAATGATCTTGCGACCTAAACTAGACACACACCTAAGCGCATTATATATATAAATATCTCTACATGTATGTGCACAAACACGCGTACAGAAATTACAAGAATGGGAATTTGCCTTCAACGGTAAACATAATCCTTATCTAAATATGTAAATTATTTTGTGCAACTTAAGACTCAACTGTCGCTTGTATCCAGTCGACAAAGTGTCCTACCCGCGTATAAACACCTGGCCAACCTTCTAGGCCGCATGACGCCGGTCCAAATGAAACGATGCCAATCAAAAAGTAATATGTACGTCCTCTGCCCGTCGTGCCCAGTCCGATGAGTGGGCCGCCCGAATCACCGCGACAAGAATCTACACCTTTCTTGCCACCTGCACACATTTGTGTGGCCTCTAATGAAATACTTTGCATCGAATAAACATGGCGACATTTTTCCAGCGGCACTCCAACGAGTTCAGCTTTCAATTTCACATTACTGCTCGATTTTGATTCGGTTTTGCCCCAACCGGCCACGTCCATGATGATGTCATCAAAGGTGGCGGTGCGCAAATTATCGTTTAATGGCAGGCAAATGGGTCGTATGAAATCGGTGAATGTGACTGTATTCTTTAAACGCAAGAGTGCGATGTCGTTGACTTGATTTAATGAATTTGGATCATATCGGGGATGTGGTATGGCACTTTCCACGGGCACGTCGATGTGCGGTGGCGCACAGTCCTTTTCGCCCCGTACATCTACTTCGCAATCCGGATTTGTTTTCGTGTCCCATTCACCCAGACGTACGGCGGAAACCAGCCAATCCTTAGGCAAAGCTTTGCCATTAACACAATGCGAGGCGGTGACAATATAGCGGGAGCTGATGAGGGAGCCGCCACAGTGATGGCCACTACGACCGAATGCTGAAAGAAATATTAATGATACAAATAAATTGCTTGCACTAAATATTTTTATAAAAATTATTTACAATAATTGAAAATTATAATTCTCTACATCTCTTACGTTTTGTGTATTCTATTAGAGCCATCCAAGGATATTCATCGATTTTTGTAGCATTGCCACCATAAATTCGGCTTGACGTCATCTGTCCGCATTTACTGGGACGTGGTAGTTTCCTGGTTTTTGTGGACTCCATCGGAGTCTTATTTAAGAGTACAGCTTTCTTGAAACCTTGTGTCGATTTGATAGGTTTTACAGTAGCTTGTGTCAGTATAAGCGGCGTGCTATTTTGATCGGCGCAGCAAATCTGAGAAAATTCTTTATTATTATTTGAATCTTCTTATTTCGGTGTTCGGTTGGCATCAATTTAATTTAAGTTTTTTTGACTCACCAGCACTTTTCGATTGAGATAACCACATTGGCTTTGACTCAAGTATAGTCTATTCACATCATGTAACGGCTGATTTAGTAGCAGTGTGTATAGCTTTTTGCAATGTTGCAATATTACACAGGAACCGGACCGACCATTTGGCGTGATGCAGCGTCCAAAAGTCGGTTTCCCCAACGTTTCATTATGGTGGTTGTACACTAAAAATCAAATATGCCGCATTTTTAAAAATTGTGAATTGAATGATGCAATAGAAACAGAGAGAGAGGGAGTAGAAAACATAATCAGTGCAACGGTAATCAACATGCAAAACCAAAGCAAAGAACAAAGGCGTCAGTGGAGGCAAATAGAGAAATTTTCTGCCACAATCCTGCCTATAACCTTAATATAAATGTCGATAGTCTTGAATGTTAAACACACTTCTCAACATACGATTTTTTTCGTTAAAAGACTGAAGCACCAAAAACTTAAGATATAAGACTTAAGGTCTGTATCTTAACTGCTAGCTATCAGGGAGAAGAAAATTAACAGTTACTCTCACAAAGAGCGATATAACAAAAGGTAAAGAAAGGGAAAACTGGCAAGAACATATTAAAATGTTGGTTTCTTTTAATCACTTCATATCAACACTTCAAAAGCAATCAATTAAATTTTTATTTTCACAATTCAAAACAATTAAAACAAACAAAATCAAAGCAAATGCCTCAAATATCGCTTGTATACATACACATGTGTTTTAACAGCTGTTTCTTCATATGGCAGTTACTATTTTCTGCTAGTTGAAATTTAACTAGCAGAAACTAGCAGCTCTCTCAGCTTTTTGTGCTCTCTTCTGCTTATTTCTGCTGGTTTTTTTTTGGTTAATAAATGCTTTTCTAGCAGACACTTTGCTAGCTAGTAATAGTTAGCAGTTAAGATACACACCTTTTAAATCTCCCTTATATGTAAATATAATCACCAGTCTTTGCAACTAATTACATAAATTTTCTTCACATCTCTGGTCTTTCATACTTTATTTAGCAAATTTTTTTGTAAACAATAAATATATATTAGTTGTCTTCGATTCTCGATTTTTTCGCATGCTATCTTTGAGCGCAACTCTTTTGTAAAAAATGTTAGATGTTATTCAATTATCGCTTGCCGAATCGAAGACAGTTATTATTAGTCTTATGTATTTAAGGCTAGTTTTGGCACCATACATACTTATGGGCACTACCAACGAATCACCAATTTTATTAACTAAATATATTTCGATAAATTATGCTTCTGGAATTTGCGATCTCACAGATTTGATAATTTTGTTTACACTTACGCGCTGTCGGCAAACTGCTACTAAGCGCACCCATCAAGAGAACACTTAAAAAAACTTGTCTTAACATCTTGAATATGTTTTGGTCACTGCCTAGCGATTCAAATCAAATTTTTAGTGCACCTGTGCTCACACTTCAAGGTCATTTCAACTTGTTGTTCAGAGAACACGACACACTTTCGCGAATCTTGTGCAACGCCCTTTTTTATGGCGGGTCAGGTAAGCGATTTGAAATGAGCATAGAAAGCGACATTTGTTCATTCTTTAAATCTTGTGAATAACCTCCGCAATTCTACAAGTAGAAGAATTTTGCACAACAACGTGTGACCCGGCACTAATGCCTGTTTCATTAATGTTGTACGGTTGAATATGGTTTTTAAGGAATAATTAAAGTCTACACTTTTGTAATGACAATGTACGTAATTATAAATACAAATATTATTTATTTGAGTGTGTATAGTACATGCGTCTACATATGAGTATATATGTATATAATTAGGGTATGTCAGCAATATATAGTAAGAATCCTATTAATAATATTCAATATTGTGCAGACTAAGGTTGAATGGTTCCTTCAATCCAATCTATAAAATCGCCAACTCTTGTGTAAACACCCGGCCAACCTTCCAAGCCGCAGGGGGTTGGTCCAAATGACACGACGCCTGCTAAAAAGTAGTGGGACAATGCTTTCTTAGTGTTATCCAAACTGATTAATGGACCGCCAGAGTCACCACGACATGAATCCACACCCGCTTTTCCGCCAGCGCACATTTGTGACGATTCCAATAGTATATTTTCTGTTGCATAACGGTCATAACATTTGCTTAGCGGTATTCCGGCGACCTCGGCTTTCAGTTTCAAATTACTAACCGATTCGCTTTCCGTCTTACCCCAACCCGCCACGTCCATAACAATACCATCGAATGTAGTCGTACGTAGATTGGGGCTGGTCGGCAGGCAAATGGGTCGAATAAAGTCGGTGTACTGCACATTTCGATTGAGACGCAACAACGCTAGATCGTTAATTTGATTTTTCGAGTTGGGCACATACTCTGGATGCGGAATTGCCTTTTCCACAGCCACATCCATATAAGGTGGAGCGCAATCCTTTTCGCCACGCACATCGACTTCACAATCGGGGTTCGTGGTCGTATCCCATTCACCAAGCCGTACGCCGCTCAATCTCCAGTCTTTGGGTATAGCTGGGCCATTTACGCAATGCGAAGCTGTGATTACGTAACGTGAAGTGATTAGCGAGCCGCCACAATGGTGTCCTTTGTTACCGGTAGCTATGAAGAATATTAGAAATTTTGAAACATCAATTTTAGAATTCGTTTAGTTTTAAATTAAACTTACGTTTTGTGTATTCTATTAAAGCCATCCATGGGAATTCATCGATTTTCGTAACATTTCCGCCATAAATACGATTCGACAGCACATTGCCACATTGACCGGGCTGTGGCAGTAGATTACTCGGCGCGACCGATGGTGGTGTAGTGGGGGTTTGTATCGAAGGTACGTTAATGAAATCCCGGTAACGATCGGGGCAACAAATCTATAATATGGAGGTTATAAATATCTAAGTGTGTGATAAATATATAAATTTGTAAGACACAGATTTTATACCCAAGCATTACTTATCGAACGATGGCACAATAGATGACAGATTGCAGTGCATAAGTCTATACTAAATTATTGGGGACTTAAAAACACTACTTAATACACAAGTTTAACGGTTTAGATAAACAGCAAACGAGTTATACAAGTATTTAGATTTAAAAGCTAAAACTTTCTCAACTCTTACTTAAGGAGCACGCCCTATTTTGAAAAATAAAAAAACAGCTTTCATATTTCGATAGGTTATACTTTTAAAAATAATATATTAAAATTTTACATCGATATCGCAATAATTTTCATCAAGTTATCTTTAAACGCGTTTATCTAAAATTATTTTTTTCTGATTTGTTTGAGTGATTACTCGGAGACACATGATCCCATCACTATCAAATTTTATGCATGTTTTTTACATACAAGTAGTACCATTTTTTTATCCGAATCGAAATAGAATATTAACAGGCCAAAAACGACACAAATTTGCAAACACCGCCATTTTGTCAATTTTTGATTTTATTTCAACCGTAGGCCATTGTACGAACAACATCTGATGGTAGAGATTTGTTTAAGTTTCATCCACGACGAAGGCCGGAATCACTGCGGCAGTGGAGGACCTATTTATTTTAGCGCCGTTGGAAATCGCGAGCAACTTAAAAAATATTTATTTTTTTCTTAAGAAATTTTGCTGTATATTCTTAAGGTATGTTAAGTACTACCCTTAATTTTTAAAGCAATTGATACAGTCGTTTTTCTTGTTTCATTCCAAAAGTTTTTGATTCTGTTAGAGAAATACATAAGTATATTATGATAGAAAAAGCGGGTGGGGTAAGTAGGTATGATTTAATTTCATTTCTTATAAGAAGAGAAAATATATTTATATAAGAATTCTGCGACTAATATAGTTTATCAAAAAAGGCACCATTAGCCAAAGGGTTAGGCTTTGTGTGTCAAAACTTCGATTTTTTTTCTTAAAATAACTTTCAAGATCCTAAACATTTTTCGATTGCTAGATAGAAAAAATTTTGTTTCCTTGTTTAGTCCAATGCAATGTCGAAGCCTTTGAGTCAGTCAGCTTCAGCACGTAAATCTTTTAACTCGGTTTTCTCGAAATTGAATTTTTCAAATCGAGTGAAAATGTTACCCGTAGACTATATCAAGCATGTATTTGAAATTTTAAATATAGTTTCACAGTAAATAACTTAATCTTTTTTAAAAGTACGCCAATTTGATTAATAAAAGTCCAAAGGAAAGTTTACATCCCATTTTTTATTTTGTAAGATAGCACGAGCTCTTAGAAACATCGTCGAGTGTCGATGCTCTCTTGAAAAAGATGATTTCGAAGATTAGACCGGTAGTTACTATTTTGTCTAAATATGTCAATATAAATAATTTTATACAAGTAGGCCTTGTTTGTTATAGCCTAAGAGAAAGAAATTCGATTCATTTTTCTTTTGACCGAGAATAAATGATCAAATTTAAAGCTTTTTAGGGCTCTATACTGCTTTTTATACCCTGAACGGGGTATATTAAGTTTGCCACGAACTTTGTAACACCCAGTAGGGAAATGTCGGTGACCCTATAAAGTAAATAACATCTATTTAAATATTTTTTTCCATTTTTGTTATTATGAAACTATTTCAAATACGTTTACATACATATATATTAGCATTGGATATAAAAATCTCTCACATCTCATAAACGAAATTATAATTTTAGCCTTACCAGCACTTTGCCATTTTGATAACCGCACTGACTCCGACTCAAATACAATCTATCCGAATGTGGCAACGGCGTTTTCAGCAGCAAATTGAACAGATATTTACAGTCGTCGAGGATGAGGCATAGCGCCCGCTCACGATTCGGCGTAATACAGCGACCAAAGTTGGGTACATCAGAGTGCTCATTGGGGAAATAGAATTCTGTGTCTTCGAATTAGATAAGCAATAAAGTTAATAACAAAATGGATTTACTAAATTCCTATTTAAATGAAATACATACTTGATTAGTTTAGTTGGATGTGGAAAAGTGAGTTAAGTTTTGTGAATACTGGAAAGATTAGCCACTGCCCCGATAATTATGTGTATGTGTGTGTATGTTATTGTCTCTGTTTACATTTTGTTTCAAGTGTTTAGTATGCACATATAAACAGAATTCTTTGAAATCCACAAATATTTCTCACTTTAAAAACTGGTTTACTATTATACATGGCTCATTTTTAAATAATAAATTACAATAATTAGCCGCTTTCATTATTTTAATTTGACAGAACAACAAGATTTAAGCGTCTTGCATGCAAATTACTAAAGTGATACATGTCTACAAAGAAATCAACAATTTTTCAAAAAATAAATACGTTTTTCGAGGAATGTGATCCACGTTTTTTTAACGTGAATCAAAAAGTCATCAACGGACAATCTGGCACTAATCAAAGAAAGAACTTTTATACCTTCTTGTGAATCAGGGATAAATAAATCATCATACAGCTGAGTCCAGTAGGTGGCCAAGCTCAATGGCAACCGTCTAAAGTGTCCGAAAACATTCGGCCGGAAAGGTTTTAGCTAACAATTTTTGGTATTCATATGGAATTATTTGCAAAGATTACCTCGAACATGGTAAAAAAATAATCAATAAACATTTATGTGTTATTGGATCTTTGGAACGATGAGCCAAAATTGTTCAAATTGTTAGGCTTGGGATATTTCAGCCCATTTATTTTGCTAGCCTTTATTTAATGTTGGAACTTTTTATATTGATTTCGTATGCACAACGAACTCATAAATTATTTTGATAAGAAATTATGGCACGGACTTAATTAAGTAATTAAGAACCAATTTAATCTGCACGGCACTGAGAACTCCTGGAATTCTCATTCTTTATAATATTTTTAGTACAAAAATATTGTCGAAAAGCAAACAAAGCAAGTGACACCAAGAAGTTAATAAAACTACCTATTGAATCGTAAAACAATCAGATATTGTTTTCAAATAGAACTTCAAAAACCCATACTAACGCCAACAAAGTTTTATTAATCATCGGAAACTCGTAACATTTCAGCGAATAGCAACAGTTTTCATATAACTTGGTGTTCAGAGTAGCTTAATCGCACAAGTGACCACATACATATATGCATGTACTTATTTATAAATATATGTATTTTCATGAGAAAATGCTTCAACAGATAATATTCAAGCACGCAAGATTTTAAAGAAATATAATCTTATAATATAATACAATAGTTTTTAGCTTCAAATATATTCAAATTAAATTTTGTTCTAAACTGTTCAGTAAAAAATTTCGCTCAAAAGTAAACTCGTAAAAATTACTTTTGAAAATATGGGTTTTCAAATATTTTTCACCAATTTTCAACACCTACTAGAATCACGTTTCACCACCAGAAATAAAAATATTTACTTACAATATTGAATATTGTAATTTTTAAGTTGTCAAAAATTTAAGCAATTATTAAAGCAAATAGGTTTTAGAAATATTTTACCAATCGCTGACAGTTAAAACCCCAAAACCAGTAAGTTAATAAGTAACACTGAATTTTTTGGGAAATACCCGAAAGATAATGTGACATGCGAAGTAATAACGTGTGAAATTCATACAATGAATACATGGGCAATAATGTGTGCGTTGTGTATTGTATAGATGTAAATGTATTAAAATATTGTATACCATACATACATAAAGATATAGATAAATGATTGATAGACTGTATTTAAAATCTGCGACTTGAAGATGATTTTAAGCGCTTGAATTTGATTGATTGCTTGCATTTAGTCATTCTAATATATTATATGTAATAAATTACTAGGGCTGTTCTTATAAGCATGATTTTCTCCAAAAGTATATTGTGCAGTTTTTATGGAATTGGAGCAAGGAAAGGATTGGGATATGGTATAATAATGTTGAAAATATGTTTATGCAATAATATCTAGGGCCTAACTTTAGAAATACTTTTTGTTTTAATATTTGAATGCACGCATTTTTCAGAACTTTCACACATTTATGAAAGTGTGTAATATAAATAAACATGTTAAAAGATTGTAATTAATATTTTATGATTACAGTGAAATTTATGTAAAATATTTTCTAATTGAGAGCAAAACAGTATTTAGTTTATATTCTAGACTAATCTTTAAAATGGGTTTTTCGTTTTTTTTTTTTGTGGATTGCAAGCAAGTTTAGTAAATATAATAAAAAATATAATTATAATTATAACTTGGGGTATAATTAATACGGCTTTAAATATTCACTGTCATTACAATAGCTAAAACCATTTACATAAAATTGTATTTAATTATATTTCATATTTTGATTATTGATTTAGCAATATTGTTTTTATTTAGCATTTTATTCTTTTATTTTGTACTAAATATACAGCTAAATTGATATAGATTAAGCCAAAGTAGCTTTATTCATAGAGTTTGGAGTAGATTTCCGCATAAAGTTTATCGGCATCGGCAACAAGAAGTGAGTGTTTATAAATAATTTCATATTCATTAAATTAAAAAAATGAATTCGCGCCAATTGAACAGATTTCCCACATTTATAAATAGTGAGTTTAGCAAACAAAAATATTTTTTGTACTTTACCAAATGAACACCCCTAGTATTATATGGACAAATGGTTGTGTGCTTGTATTATTTAATAGGTGCATCGCTATAAACTTTTCCTCGCTAAAGTGTCAACATTTAATGGTTTTTTTTTGTTGATAGATGTAATTTATGATTCATATTTTGATATACCTATGTACATTTATAGATATAAATGAAGTTACAATTAAACAAATGATATTTTGTAAAGTTTTTTACGACTTTCTTTAGTAAAAGACTATGTACATATGTAAATTTACACTACTTTACTTAAATGATTCAGATACTGGCAGAATATATGACTTACGTGCAGAGGATAAACCACACAAAAAGGCAGCAAAGAAGAAGACACTAATTAACACCGGTTTTAACATAGTGAATTGGTGCTAGTCTCTGCTAATTCAAAAATAACTCTCGCCTTTGTTGTTATATTGTTCTTTTTTATGAATTTTCGGTAGGGCGTTATTATATTATACGTACAGATGTGTATATATTTCCATTTAACTATAGTTTTTATAATTCAGTACAAACAGTTTTTATGGTTTTTCGTTCAGTTTTTTTGTGTTTCTTACTAACTACGCTTTTAATCAATTCAGAATTCACATAAAAAGTCAATGTACTCAAAATAGAATCGATTATAATATTTTCGATTTTATTTCACAGTAAATTTCACACCGAAACTTTTTGTTTTTGTTGCAAATTGAATGCGTTTAGCTCTGCAATTATTATTATTTCGATCTCAACGAGTTTATAATTTGCATTAATTAATTAATTCACAAGTAATAATCAAATCCGTTTTTTATTGGCGTAGCGAACTTAAGCGCGTGAATATTTTTATTGTTACCCGGCGGCCGAATACTGGCGAGTTATAGCAAGAATCAACTTTGCACTTTCTTATAACTGAGATTACGACAAGTGTCGTTTCACATCACAAAGACAACTGAGAACTAGAGAAGATGCTGTCGGTAAGTCTACTCTAAAATCTGCTGAGCGGTATTTAAAAACTTGTTAGTCGGCACAAAGTTTTCACAGCAATCCGGCGCTTAAGTGTAGATTTACCAAGCTTCTCACGAAATGGCGATTATTACTAGAGTTATTACAAGCTTTTGTTTTTGTTTGCGTTTTTACATAGCGTTTGCATGATACTGTTGATATAAGAGAATGCACAAAGCGGATTTCTCTTAATTTTTGTTTTTTTATATGAACGTAAGCTTAGTTGTTATAATCGGCATTATATGAGCAGAAGGACGCTTTAAAGATAACTCTCTCACAATTGAGAAGCGTAAAATTTCAGTCAAAATTAATTGTCAAGCACAATAGACCATAGATCGCGGTGCATACCTCTATCCATATTTATCTATCTATCTAATTGTCAATAAAAATTTACTATGCACTAAAAATTTACAGAAGATCTTAAAATATCTACAATTAAATCGTATTTCGCGATATTCTTGTTTTGATTCTAAACCTTGTCTACCCACATCTCACGACTAAAACTTGTACTGCGCGTGCGCCTCCCATTCTTTATTTAAGATTTTTATACCCTCAATAGGGTATATAAAGTTTGCCACCAAGTTTGTTACAGCCAGAAGGGTACGTCGGAGACCCTATAAAGTACTATTCACATAAATGATCAGTGTGACAAGCTGCCTCGATTTAGCCATGTCCGTCTGTCGGTTTACGAGCATACGTGAACTTTTCTTCCCAAGAAGCTGTTCATTTGTCGAAACCACCGCTATCAGACCATGATATTGCGGGATACATCTGCCATACAAACTGATTGATCAAAATCATGTCCTTATATTGCAACCTTTTTTAATTGGCAATATACCTGGTCTGTGGGAGTCTGTGGGGGCATTTGAGGTGTCCTGATTACGTATTTGAGTTCAAAAATTTTCAATACAGCATTTAAGTAAATGGTGGTGGTTTGACCCCTACACATTTTTACTATCATTTTCGGTTTTAGCAACTCCAAATTAACATGAAACAGCCTCTAAGATCACAGTCGCAAAATGACTGTAAACTAGTGTTAATTTTCATTCCGAAATATATCGATTAGGTTACATATCACCGCCAATAAAGAAGAGATCTAGTAAAAAATAAATTAATTATTTTTGCATTCCATTGAAAGTTGTATTTAAAATATGTAAGCTTTCTGCCATTATACAGGTAATTTCATTGTTGCAATTGTCATAGAAACCCTAGATTCTATTGGTAAGAAACAAGCTTCTCTTGAGATGAAATTTCACCAGTAAAATCATTCGATATAGACAGTAACAGGTAGTAATAACTTTCTTTACGGACTATACCCAAGCTTTCTCGTCGTGTATCGCCGTAGGTGGCCTGAAATTGTCCTGATGGAACCTAGTTTCTCTCCTATAGGCCAAACCAGGCCGCTTCTGGGCTGTTTTCTCCTTCATATCGTACTATTATTAAAAGTAGCAGCAGCTCATTTATAGATTAATCCCTGCCAATCGGCCTAATCTTATAGTGAAATCTTCCTGCTCGTCAATCCTGACTTGGTCACCATTTACGCAAGCTCACTCGAGTCGACCAAGACCATTTTTGCTTAACGTTTTCGTAAGTGACTCACTTTCCATCCCTAATAATCATCCGCTACAGAAATGGATCGCTTTTGTCGTTGAAATCGTTGAAATTCAGTAGAGATGCGCAGATGAAAACTCAGTTCATGAGGTTTTTTTTTACATTAATTCGTGACGTTAGCGTTTGGCAAGTACTTACATGATGGCCGGATTCGAGAATTTCCATTATTCTATTGGTATTTTCGAAAATTGGCCATATAGAACGTGTTGCGTTTTTGACATCAAAGTTACGGAAGGGAATCGAGGAAACCAAAATTACGCATAATTGACTTTTACAGTATTAGTACCATATTTACATATTTACAACACATATTCATCACACAAAATAAAAGAAGAACCATTTCTATGTATTCGATTTAGGATAATAAATCATTAACACAGTTTTATTTTTGTTTTTTTTTTTCTATTGATTAACAATATACACAGATTGCTTGCAGCACAATAATAATTTATAGCACATTGAAAATTGTTACACCAATTAGCCTACGCTTCTATTGTGCTCTCAATCCAATCGATAAAAGCGCCAACTCTTGTGTAAATCGCCGGCCAACCTTGAACGCCGCATAGACTCGGTCCAAACGATACTATACCCGCCACAAAATAAACCGGTTTGCCATTTACGACATCTTGAAACATTAGTGGACCACCAGAATCGCCACTACATGTATCGCTGCCCGCATCACCACCCGCACACAATTGTGTACTCTCCAAACGTATATTATTTAAAACGGAATATTTGTCTACACATTGCTTGAAGTCTTTAATCTTAATGGTGGTTTTCAACTTAACTGGATTATTATTGGTCTTCTCTGTTTTACCCCAACCGGCCGCATCCATTACGTAATTTAAGAATGTAGCATTACGAAGGCTTGACGCCCTCGGTAAACAAATTGGCTTGATATAATCACTGAATGGAACTGATTCTCTGAGACGCACCAAAGCAATGTCGTTAGGGTCATTATGTTTTCTATAACCAGGATGTATTGTGGACCGTTCAATATAGTTACTTCTATACTTGGGCGCACAATCATCCGCTGCGCAGTCAGGATCTGTGCGTGTATCCCATTCGCCTAAACGTATGCTACTCAGTCGCCAACCATATGGAAGGTCTTTCTCAAAAACACAATGCGCCGCTGTTAATACATATCGATCGTTTATTAATGCTCCACCACAATAAAAACCTTTCCCACCATTACCTGTATCAAAGAGATTAAAAATTATGATAAATAATTCATATTTGTATGTAGGAGTTCACTTACGGTTTGTGTACTCAAACAAGGCCAGCCACGGAAATTCATCTATCGCCGTCTCAGTTCCACCATAAATACGATTCTCAATCGTATTACCACATTGCGGAAAATTTGGTAGTAAATCAGATTTATTGGTATTGTTATTGACGCTGGAGGAGGTGGTGGTTGGTGGTGGATTTAAAGCAATCGATTCTGGAAATATGACGGCTGGGGCTTCATGTGCTGGAGGTGGAGTGGTAGTAGCGCTTAATTTCAAATAATTTGGTGGACAACATATCTGTAGGGTTATATGTTTTTATATTTTTTTTGTTTTTTTTTTAGTTTTTTCTTTTGAAAATACATGTATGAACTGAAAATAATTATTCTGAGTGGAATTGCTTACCATTACTTTGCCATTTTTATAACCACATTGACTACTACGCAAATATCTACGATCGTTTCCCGAAAGATTTGGATCTAGTAACAATTCGTAGAGGAAGCGGCATTCTTCCAAGTTAATGCATGAGCCCGACATGGCATTTGGCGTAAGACAGGAGCCACTGCTTGTCGCTAAATATGGAAAAATGTTTTCAATTTATATTATAAATAAAGGTAAAATGAAGAGTTTTTATAAAATAAAACAAAGCATAAGTAAATCGCAGTCCCTCGAAAAAGCATTGCTCACTTGTTCATTCACATAAAAAGTTTTATTTCGCATCAAATTTATATTCTCAAGATTTAGAAAGGGAATACTAGTTTTGTAATCCTTAATTTAATCAAGTTTTTTATATACAAATATGTAGAATTAATTGAAATTATCAAAATGTTGAGGTGACTAGAGCGGTCTGATAGCTACTTAGCCTACAAAAGAAAAACGAAAACTTTGGAGGTCTACAAAGTACACTCCGTGGCGGCGATAACCTGCTCATTCGACTCATACTTCTGCCCGCTGAGTAACTTTTTTAAATATGGAAACAAAAAGCAGTCCCATGGGGTCACATCTGGAAAATACGATAGATAGGGTATCATTGTGTAGCCTAATTGGTCCAATTTGGTCTTGGTGACGGCTGACTTGTGAAATGTGTTGTCATGGTGAAAACGACTTTTTTTTATAACAAACGGGACCCCAAGCGTAGATCCCATTTTGCGATAGCTGGAAGCCAACGCCATCCCGACCGATAGGTCAGTATGCGCCTTCTTCGAAGCAGGTTCGCCGCTTGAAGTCCACTGTTTGAACTATTCCTTGACCTCTGGTGTGTTTCTATACTTGTAGACCCATATTTTGTTAACGATTACGAAACGACGCAGGAACTCCTTTTCATTGCAATAGCGTCAACCACTGTGCGGAGTGAGCAAACAACTTTTTCGCTTTTCATGCCCAATATGTAGATCCCTACTGTCTCAAGTATCTCAGCTTTCTTAGATTTAAAATTTGCTCCTTAATTACTCTCGTCAAAACTGGCATTCCTTCCTTTTGATTTTCCTTATTATTTTCTATATTTATATACTGAACAGGGTCACCATGAAGATTGTAATACCCCGAAAGAAACGTTGGAAACTAATAAATTAATCTTAAGTTCACTCACCGTTCGTAAAATCAGTTGAACAATGAAAAAAATAACGAAGTAGATTTAGGCGGGTGCTCGAACTGAAAAAGATGTGATCGTTACCGAGTCGAATGCTAAAAAGCGAGCGGGATCCTTTTTTTAGTCCCTTACATATCTGTTAATGTCTTCATGGTGGTGATGTTGTATTTGTGTGCGTGTTGGTGTATGGTGTAGTGATGTGGAATGTATGGTAAGTAAGTGTGGTGATGTGGATGTGAATTGATGTGGTGTACAGTGTTTTATGGTGAAGGGGGATTGAGTGGTCATTTAGCCATCCCGGCCCCCCTAGGCAAATGATTAGCCTAGTAGTCGCTGCAGCTGTTGTAGCGTTGCCACAACGCTGCTCAGACCCGTGGAACAACGTGGTTGCGGTGTAGGCTGTCGATGCCGTATTGATGTTCCATTCCGCGAGTGTACCGCACAAGTTGAGGGTTGAGGTCCTTTTTACGCGGCTTCGAAGGGTAGGTGGCCGACCGACGTCGCGCCTCGAGCTGCGATAAAGTATCGTGTGATGTGGTCTGCTGTAAATTTGGCACAGACCCGTGGACTCACACTCTTGAGTCCCATGCGTATGCGATAGACAGTTTAGACAATGCCCGTGGGCCTGGGCAACTTGCTGTCGTTGCAACGGTCGCATACGTTTAAAAATGCCACAATGTTGCAGCCGGTGTGGGCGCCGACATATGGGACATCGTATACGATTTGCCTCTAAAGGCAGTGATGATAGCGTCGGTGGTGGTCGCGTGCCACCACGAGGAGTTGGTGCCGATACCGGTGTCGTTGCAGGTGCTGTTGCAGGGGTAGTTGCAGCTGCAGCTCGGGACGTTGGGGAAGGCTCAGTGCGTGGCACGTTGGTAGCCGATCGCACAGTTGGCATTGGAGTCATTGGCGTATCCACATCCATTAAAAAGAGTGGTTTGATTATGCAGATTTATATATGATCGACCATTTAGTATTAGCTATTTGTAATTTTTAACGGTTATTAATGAGTTTTTCGGTTTTTTGCTTCTTGATTTGGTTATTTCATTGTACTGCGGTAGTATCGGTTGATTGTTTGCAATTTGCTGTGTCGCTATTATCGGCGGTTGGTAGAAAGCATAGATTTACGAACGGTCTGGTTAGCGTTCAGCTTTGCGTCCGAAGATCAGCTACTGGTATGTGACCATAGGAGCCGTAATGTAGTTTTTCTATGCGCCCAAGCCGCCATTCGGTACAAGGTAGACAATCATCATGGATGATGACACAATCTCCAAGTTTTGGTGCTTGTTCAGGAGTCTTCCAACGGTATCGTTTATGGATATACTTTATGTACTCTTCTTTCCATCGGCGGCTGAAATCGTGATGGAGAATTTTTATTCTTTCCCAGCGATTTAGCTTTTAAGGATAGTGACTCCACGCCTGGCTCAGGTATGGCCAAAATGGGTGTTCCTTTGAGAAAGTGCCCTGGAGTTAAGGCTGTGAAATCGGAGGGCTCTTGCGAGAGGATTGTGAGAGGCCGTGAATTGAGAACGGCTTCAATTCGAATTAATAATGTCGTGAATTCTTCGTAATTGAATTTGTAATTTCCAGCTACCTTTTTGAAGTGGAATTTTAAGCTTTTGCGTCAATGTATCGCATTAGGGATATTCTGAGGAACTCCCTTAACTTTAATTTTAAGTCGCTTTATGAACTTTAACATATAGGCGATTACTCTGAGGGCTCGGGAGAACGATGAAAATGGCTCACGGATGTCAGTATCCTCTACTGCTGTGTGAAAGGAGTCGATTTTTCGACTTTCTGGGGCAATTATATTGCGCATGGGCGATTGTGACCAAAAATCTGGAGATTCTGTCAACCATCGGGGACAATTCCACCAGAGGATGGTGGGGACAAGATGCAGGGGTTTGCACCCTCTTGTACCTAGATCAGCTGGATTGTCAGCACTGGCTACGTGTCGCCAGATGGCTGATCCTACTAGGTCAAGTATTTGACACGTTCGATTGGAAATATACGTCTTCCATGCATATGGTGGTTTTTCTAGCCAGGCTAGTCCAATTTCCGAATCGGACCACAGATATAGTTTGTATTTTGCATGTTTAAATGCATTCGCACCATGGATACTAGTTTGGCTAGTAGTAGCGCTCCACACAGTTCAAGTCGTGGTAGACTTATTGTTTTTAAAGGAGCTACTTTTGCTTTTGCTACTAGTAAGTGGCTTGTGGTCGCAATGTCGCCATAATTCAGGTTCCAGTTATTCTCTTTGGCCGCCTCACGCATCAACATAAAGCCTCGCGCGTACGAAACGATTTTGGCGCAGTACAATGCATGCTTAATGTGATTCAGGATCTTGGGTAAATCCCCAACCTTTGCCGAAACGCCGGGTCCGCTCAATTGTTTGCTGGCCGCCACACGTTCATCCTTCAATGCGGATGGGCAACTTGAAAATACCGCTTCACCGATTAGCGTTATAGGTACACCGTATTGTAGCGCAGCAATGGCTGTCAATTTTCCTGTACCCTTTTGTCCAGCTGTGTCGCGTATGCGTTCCAAAAGAAAACCTTTTTCATCCTGATAGTTTAAAATGTCTCGTGTGATTCCGATGAGGAATGAATCCAATTCTTCGCTGTTCCACTTCTCGAACTCTGTAGCCATCTCGGCTTGTGAGAGACCAAGCGCTTTCATGATTTGATACGCTTCCCAAATCAATTGCATTTTGACAAAATGTCCAGCACTCCCGAACCAACGTACAAAATTCGTTTAGCTCACAATTCATCGCAACGACGTGCGGTATCTTGATACTCGGAGTTGCCACCGTCGATGATTACATCGCCGGGCGATAGTAGTGGCAACAATTGTTTGATGAAGTCGTCCACAGCGCTGCCGGCCTTGATCAAAAGCATAATTTAACGCGGCAACTTCAATTTGTTCACCATATCCTGCAACGAAGTAGCGCCGATCACTTTTGTGCCCTTGGCTTCATTCTGCAGAAATTGGTTGACCTTCTCGACGGTGCGATTGTACGCGCACACCACGAAGCCATTATCATTCATGTTCAAGATGAGATTCTGACCCATAACGGCCAAACCGATCAAGGCAATATCTGCTTTAGCATGTTGTTTTTATTATTGTTGCTTCAACTTATTGCTTTTAAGATAGGCGATTATTGCACGTTCGGCCCTTTCCCCACCGTTCATTGATCACAACACCGTTTTTTTTCCGCAGCTTTTATTCATTCTAAGCTATTAGCTTTTTTTTTTTTTGTAAGCTCACTTTCGTATCCAGTTGGCGTACCTTACTTGTTGGCAATCGCGCGATTAGGTCGCTGGTTCATATCCGGCTCGAAGGACCATAATTAAGTAACTAATAAATTAATCTTAAGTTCACTCACTGTTCGTAAAATCAGTTAAACAATGAAAAAAATAACGAAGTAGATTTAGGCGGGTGCTCGAACCAAAACAGATTTGATCGTTAGCGAGTCGAATGCTAAAAACGAGCGGGATCCTTTTTTTTAGTCCCTTATTTATCTGTTGATGTCTTCATGGTAGTGTGATCGTGGTGATGTTGTATTTGTGTGCGTGTTGGTGTAGTGATGTGGAATGTATGGTAAGTACGTGTGGTGAAGTGGATGTGAATTGATGTGGTGTACAGTGTTTTATGGTGAGGGGGGATTGAGTAGTCATTTAGCCAAGTTCGTCTGTCTGTCTGTATATACGAAAACTATGTTCGCCAGGTTTTTAGATATCGATCTGAAATTTTGACCACGTCTTTTTCCCTCCAAGAAACTGCTCGTTTGTCGGAACCGCCTATATTGGACCACTATAGCTGCCATACAAACTGACCGATAAAAATTATGTTTTGGTATGGAAACTTTGAAATTGTTTAGATCAGATTACTATAGCATATAGCTGCCATACAAACATCGATCAAACTTATGCCCTTGCATGTAAAAATTTTTCATTTGACAAGATATCTTTACAAAATTTGGCATAGATTATTATACAAGACAACTTTTCAATCCCCGCAGAAATTGTTCGGATCACTATAGCATATAGCTGTCATACAAATTAACCGATCAAAATCAATTTTTTGCATGGAACCTTTTTTTATTTGCGAAGGTTATTATAGCTTCGATGCAACCGAAGTTAACGTTTTTTGCTTGTAACATTTCACACACATTTCGTTAAATATTACACAAATGCGATGTGACGAAAGAACTGACACATATAGGAACATACAAAAATATATAGTACATATATTTACATTGGAATTGCAATGGCTAATTAAAATTATGAATGAAATAATAAAAAAGTTGCATACCTGAATAATAAACGTTCGCTATAAAAGCGCCGAACAGACTTTATTGCTTTTTCAAAAATATGAAATCTGAATTCCCCCAGCAAATTTTATTTTCTTACAAAAAACCACAAACTGTTTGCAATGCAATTTGATTTAGAGAATTCTTGAAATAAAGACAAAACCATTGTCAAGGAACTCTTTAATCTTAATAAGTGTAATGACATAGAGAAATGAAGTGTTTTTTTTAATTGCGGATTTTACTTTTTTCAAAAATGTATTATTGTTACAAATTATCATTATTATGAATTATTATAGATATTACGATTGTATTATATTGTATAATTTGCACAACAGCAATAAAACTTTTTTTTTGTGTTTGAAGTGAATTGGTTTCTATCAATTAACCTTAACTTTATTCACATTTGTATGTATATATATATTTACCAGCGAAAATGATAAGAAAATAAGAATTACATGTAAGTACATATGTACTAGGGTGAGCCAAAAACTAAAATATCGAATTCATGGATTGAAATGAATGTAGCAGAGAGAAAAAAACATAAATGCTTGAGAAGTTATGGTATTACTTAATGAAAACAGATCTTTTTTTTTCAGAATGCTCACCGACACCTTTTAAAATGATGCTAAAAAATTTACCTTGCAGGGATATTTTTATTTGTATATAGGTTGGTTTGAACTCACAAATGCGATAAGTTTATTTGTGGCTTACCCTAAAATGTATTATACATATGTACATAAATAAATAAGAGCAAATAAAGAAATCGCATTTCCATTTCTTCGACATTTCACATAAAAATTTAAATGAAGCGTAAACTTTTTACTTACCAGCTGTAGCGAAATGGAGCAAAAGTGTTGTCACCAAAAATAAGTAAATATTCAACCGGATTCCCATCATTCACTGTCAAGTTCAAATTTATAAAGTAAGTACGAAAAGTCGATCCTTCACGAGATCTCACGTAATTTTATATTAAATAAGTTTACAAAAATCCCAAATTTTTTATACACACATAAAAATTTTAAATTTTCATATGTATGTAAATTTATTTAACTGTTTCTATTCTATTTTCAGAAGCCCACAAAGCGCACTGCTGATACGTTGCTATTTGACTAGTATTTTGCTCGAGACTAGTAAGTTGTCGCTTGCTCTGGTGCCACTACAGCTATCATCTCTCTTTAATTTAGAAGCTCTTCTCGACAAGCGATGTTTCGCTCGTGCATGCAGTTGACCAAGTCTCTTTTAATCTGCCGTTTTTCGCTTCATTTACGCTTCTACATATATACATATAAGTACATCCATTTATACTTGCTTATATGGCGCTTCCCAGCTTACGTGATAACAACAGTTGAGCGCCGGATTCAGTAAACAAAAAATATAATTTAGTACGTCAAAATAATAAAGTCAAGAGCTTTTTAATAAAAAAGAGCAGTAGATTAGAGCATTAATTGAGATAGTAAAATTCAAGGAAATACCGCATCAGAAAATTTTAAATGAGTAATCGGGTTTTCACGTGTTTGCATCGTATCGCGTATTTGAAAAACTAATGACAGTTTTCTAACGGTTTCTGACTTACTGGATACCGGAAGTAACAAACACGATGTTCGTTTCCAGCAAGTATACGATGGTCTTAATCTTTAAAGAACTTTTGCTTTTCACATTAGATAACTAGTCTAAACGAGTAGGAGATGTAACGTGACATCGAAGATTTATTTTTAAATAAAGCTCTCAGCTATGCAATTGTATTTCGTTAGTACAGAAACGGGTCAAAAAAGAGAAGTACGAGTAGCATTGGTTGGAAAAAAACAATCACATAAACTATAGGTAGAGTTATTGAAAGATTTAAAGATTAAACTCGCGAAAAACGATCTCATATATATATATATATATATATATGTAGAAGAAGGAAGTACTAATTCTTAAAGTTAATGCACCAAGTACCAAACCAATGAACACCATGGCAAAATTGCATAAATTAAACTTCAAATTACTTCCACTGTTTTCGGAACTCAAGAGAATAGTCCTCTAAAGATATCGCTGAAACTAACGTATACTTTGAAATTAAAGAAATAGTTGTACTGTTCAAATGGTATCGAAAATAAGTATTAAAAGATCTCGAAGAAAAACACGTTAACATAGTTACTAACTCTAAAATAAATATTTATTCAATTGCTAATATTTAACAGTAACATAATAATATAAAAAATGATGTAATATATTTGTAACATAATTAGGAAACAAGCTAACTTAAGCTAATACTTTCTATGATCCATCCTAGGTATGAGCTAACACGCGTATAAACACCTGGTATATTGGACATACCACACTTTGTCGGTCCGAAAGCCACAATACCCAATAAAGTATGGCGTCCACTGGTATTTATGAGACCGGAGGAACCATCATCCATGAACGGGCCACCACTGTCACCTTTAGGATAAAAACCAAGAGCACATTAACATTTTATTTGCAGAACCAGAGCATTGTCGTTCTCATTATTCCATTAATATAAGGCAATATTGATAATTATCAAAGCAAAGAGGACTAAAAAGCTGTAAAGTAATTTTTCTCTAGAATACTCTATATTCAACGCAAGTTGTAATCGTTTTCATATACTATATTAGAAGGAGCATGAGAGAGACTAATTTGGTCTGAATTATGTTCGTTGAGAGAGGAATTTACTTATCTTTTCAACTCGATTCAATGAACCATGTTTACTAAGCCAAACACCTCAATGATCTCAACATTTATCACCGTATTGCTTACCTCTACAGACGTCATTCATTGGTCCACCCTGAGCGCACAACTGTGAAGGCGTAATTACGATGGGGTCATTAAAATTTTCACTGAATTTCGCATAGGTAATTGCACACTCAGTCGTATTAGCGATCGGCAAATTCAGATAACGCACCCGTGGACTACTTGTGTCGTTACCTGAAATCATAGATAAACAAATTTATCAATTTCAAATTTAATTCAAAATTGAAGTTTCACATTATAAGACCAAAAAAATTAAATTAACACAAAATAATTATAAATTCAACGAAAAAATAGACTACAAGCTAAATAAGAACTAAAACCTTCAACATCCGCTGTCCAGCCGAGCGCTATACCGGGGCTACCTATAAGCTGATCACGTACAGAAGCCGATAAATTTGGTGGTAAGCAAATGGGTGTGTAATCTGAGCTCAAACGAATGTTGTTGTTGGAAATACAACAAAAATGATTAATTATAATAAAAAAAGCGTAATAAAGAAAATTATATTAATAAACTCACCACTGGCTTCGCCGATAATTTTAACCAATGCAATATCATTGGCGTACTTCGGCTGATCATAACTGGGATGTACGCGAACTTCGGCGATTTGATAGATACGCGATGCAATAGTGCAATTCTCGGTGCTGTTGGCAGTACAATTCGCGGACAGCGCCACACCGCCGATGCGCACATGAGAGCTAAAGAGAAAATGTTTAAAGTAGAAATTTATTATACTCATCAATAATTATAAGGAATGTTCTCGGAAATTTTTATCTCACTCACAGCTGTAGATCGCTCACGAGATTTACGACACAGTGCGCCGCGGTGAGAATATGTGATTGACTCACAACGGAACCGGAACAGCGATAGCTGATGACATTGCTGGCTGCAAGAAAGTACAAATATTTTATTAAAATCCGCAGCTTATATTTTTGTTTTTTTTTTCCTAACGGAAAGTTAAAGTTAAAGATAATATAGTAGGTTTAAATTTTGAACAATGGGTGTGCACAGCATCCTGGAGAAATGAACCTCTTTGCTTCTGATTGACTTTTTGCCGAAGATATATTTTCCTAAAATGCTCTGCTGCCGGTTGACTATATACCGAAAATATCAGTAAATTTATGAGTTAACTTAATGAAATTAAAGATTTTTTTGCTAATGATAATATGTTCTGACGCTATACATCAATAAATTCGGTTGAGAACTTATCCTAACCCTCATAACCTATCACTTCTTTTTCATTTCAGTAATACTAAAAGTTCAATATGACTGATACGGCCGAAACCGAAGCCAGCGAACTCAAAGCCGATGTTAAAGACGAAAAACCTACGCTTATGACGAAGTTAACAAATTCCATTACTTCATTAACGAATAACAAAGATGGTCGATTTCAAATGACCGAAAGCAATTGGTCGATTTTAAAATGCACGCTCGTCTTTCTGTTCGGTGTTGTGTTGACCAAGAAAATGCAGAAGGTGGTCAATGAAATTATGTGAGGTTACCTTGTGTCTAAGCTAACATGAAATACAAACAATTGTCTGAATGAGATTCCTTACTTACTTTTATTAATGTATGCTATGCGTGATATCCAGGGGTATAAGCGTTCCCCATTTCCGGCGTTTATATCGGGCATACCACAGCGTGCTATGTTCACTTTAGATTGTTCTAACGGTTTGCTTGTTGGCTTCTTAGTTGTGGTTGTCGTTGTCGTCGTCGTTGTTGTTGTTGTTGTTATTGTTGGAAATTTTAGTGGCCGGTTTAAGCGTCTATCATCCGGATAAACAATGGGACCGTCATTGATGGGTCTTAAAATAGTGCGTGGATATTCCTCCTCACCTTCGACATATTCATTGCTGTCGTACACATTCTCACGACCATATTCGTATTCATGATGTTGATTGTGATGTGGAAAATAACTATCGCTACCAAAATGATGATGATGCTTATGTGAATGATACTGGAAATTTTTTTGATCCAAACCTCCACTTCCATAATGCATCTTTCGCTCACCATTCACTTTCTGGGAGTCAACTGATTCTTCATAGAATGAGTGTGGAAAGTTTCTTTGTGTTTTTGGATCAATAAAATCAAACACATCCGCTTCCTCGTAAAATTCCTTAGATCTGCGTTTAGTTGTTCTACCATCGATAGAACTGGCGGCCAACAACATTTCGGTGAGTGCGTTGATGCGTGTGGGAAACTGTGTACTGCCCCACACCCAAACATCGGGATCTGTGCTGCGGTAGGCATCGATGTCAGTTGTGTGTAGTCGCGTCGTAATTTTGTGGTTCGCATAGGTGGTGGGACAGCAAACGAGCGGATCGAGACCGGCATAACCACAACCGGCACTCTGTACTATTTTGTATATCATGTCAGCTTCATGCGGTTTGTGATTCAGGAGCAAGTAAACAATTGGTTCGCACTCTTTTACAGGTATGCAATTACATTTGGGCACACCGGTGGGCAGCTCAATGCCACGGGTGACTGAAAATAACAAAAGGAGTAGACATTAGTGTGGAGCTGCTTGGATGAAATTTCAATTATTCAAATTATTTATAAACAAGGCATAATACTATAGAAAACTAAAGAAAGGTGGACCAAAGTGAAATGCATGAAAGATTGGGTTATAGAAAGCTGTCGGCTTGATGGTTGCTGCGTTTGCTCACTTTGGACTTCAAGCGCAACGACGTGGTCATACCACTTCACGGCAGCATGTGAGACCAGAGTTCAACAAATAGACGAAACAGTCTCTACTGTCTCATTAAGCAAATGAAAGACTGTTCTATCCTCCGGAAACAAAGTCCACTTGGTCTAATCTACACCAACTAGCTGGAGGGGGACAAACGGTCACAGAACCTATTGCTCTTCCACCATGACAACGCACTTAGCCACACCTTCGTCAATCTCCCCTGCTAAATTAGTCGAATTGAGATTAGGATACAAACTCCTGCCTTCTATTTTGTTATCACTCGGATACTATCGTATAATTTCTAAACATTTTGTTTTTCTTTATTAGCTAAATAATTATCGGACTTAATCTATGTATGTAAAGTAAAAAGAGTTAAACCATTTATATCTCACGAACTACAAAACTGATTTTAAATATATTCTATTTTTCTCATCTCAAATAGCAGAATAACTATCAAAGTATAAGAATAAATCAAGGAATAAATTAAAATAAGTAAGAAAGTGCTAAATTCAGTTGTAACTGAATGCTTTATATTTTCGCAAGGTAAAGTGATACACGGGTTTTTCGTATATACCATATTTTAATTAAAAGTAGGAAGTATTGCATTCATTATTTCACTGCAAGCTCGAAATATTTATATTAGGAAGTTTGAAAATATTTATGTATATTATGTATATGGGGGCTAATAAAATCAGCCATAGTCACTGGTGTCCACATATTTGGTATCTGGGTTTTTAAAATGTTTTAGTCCGATTTCGACAAATTTTGGGCAAAAGATTAAACACTTTGAAGGCACTATTTGTGCAAAGATTTACTCTAATAACTTCATTGATGTTTTACTTGTATACTATAAACTGAAAAATTAAGACGGAATTTAAAATTTTGTTAAATGGAAAGTAAGGATTTATACGATAGGGTTGATTGTTGATTCACACACCAAAATTGGTTGAAATTGGTCAATTAGTTCTTCAGATATAGGATTTCAACTAAAAGTGGCCGGTGCCACGCCCATTGTCCAATGTTTACATTGGCTTCTCTAAAGCCTTTCCCTACCATATTGCTTGTGAAATTTAAGGCTAATGGCGCATTTATTCAGCGAGTAATCGCACTTTTAGTAGTTTTCGACGTAACTGTTATATAGGCAGTGGGCGTGGTTATTATTTGGTTTTACAAGGTGTGTTCCAAAGTAAACATTAAAATAGTAACACAGTAAATTCTAGTATCGCGATCTATATGTCGACTAGTGCGTTAGAATCTGCTATCCTTTATCGATTTCCAGTAAAAATTTCATGACATTTCATCTATTGGAAGTGAAGTTATTGCGTTTTAAGTGTCAGTATGTTTTTGTCATTTGCAAAAATGAGCTTCGAACAAAGAGCCAACATTAAATTTTGTTTTAAAATTGGTAAAACTTTTACCGAAACGTTTCAATTAATGAAACAAGTTTATGGCGATGATTGCCTATCCTGTAGCAGAGTGCACGAGTGGTTTCAACGTCGTGAGGACATAAATGAGAAATGAGCAGAAACCCAAAAAATCGCGCCTGGAGAAGTCAAAAGTGAAGACAATGCCGATTTGTTTTTATGATTCCAAGAGTATTGTCCACAATATCCGAATATCGCGAAGATGGAAGTTGGCGTTTGTTGCACGATAATGCGCCGTCTCATCGATCGACGCTTGTGGCCGATTATTTGACCAAAAATCACACCAAGGACTAAATACTAATTTCATCAAGATGTCTAAATTTTGTTTAACCTATTGCTGGCACGGATAGACAGTCACCCGGATTTTAACTCGTCTCGTCATTCGAAACCATTTATACATATGTATAACCCTAGGTGAACAAAACTATTACAATCTGTAGCAACGCTAGCGAGAGTATAAAAATATATCTAGAAAGATATCCAAATACATAAAATATACTCGATTCAAAGTGCAAATAAAAATGTAAGGATCAAAAAATAATAATAATTATTAAATAAATCAGACTCAAACAATCTAAATGCTTCTCACTCTCTCGGAAAAAACAATTTGTTTGATCTACTACATCGAAAAAAGTGATTTTACCGTATAATGTTATAAGTATGCTTGCGAATATATTTAATAACTTAACTACTTATACTCTCTCATTTAACTAATATTGCATCCCATCTTCAATTTTTGTTTACAAAATACTATGAATTCTGGTTTTTCTGCTCTGTTTTATTGTTAAAGCAAAGCTCGGTCAATTACGAGTATTTACAAATCCAGTTATTTTTACTGCTTCACAAAATGTGTTGGAGCTTTTACAGCATTAAATGGTTCTGAAACTAATTTAATACGTACCAGCATAAAAGTTGCAGTTTTAAATATTCCACTTTCGGGCAAAATAAATATCGATTACAGCGGAAAACCAATGAAATAAATTTCAGCTTGGTCTCAGTTAAAACACTAAGTAAATTCTTGGTATAAAAATGTTTATTGCTATAAGCCGTTCGAAGGCGGCTTAAAAGTTTCTTAAGAAGCACACTAGCTGACCGCAAAACACAAAGATGATTTTTGAGCATTTTTTAGAGAAAATTACTAAATGAAATATTTCAAAACTTTTAGCATTTACTTAGTCCTGCCATAATTTCATTTACAAGCTTAGGCCGTTATAGAAATGAAACTATAATATTGTACATTTTTTAATACAATATAATTAAATTTATTTCATAATGCATAAGTTAAATGAGGGATGCAAAAACTTGTATTCGAAATGATCACCTTTTGCTTTCACACAAGCCCTCAAATGATTCAGCCATTGATCTATTCCAGCACGCGCAGCATCTGTGTTATTGGTATTGACGACGTTACTCGAACCAACGATTTTTTTAGACTCTCCAAATTTCTGTGGAGAATTCAGCAAGTCATGTTGTCCAACTCTTGAAACAAACTGTACTTTAATGGATTTAAATCTGGACTTTCAGACACCCAACCATCCGCAGGTGTGAAATCAGGAATATTGCTTTTAAGACACTTACAGTGTGGTTTTTGGCTTGCATGCTGGAGCAGAATCTTGCTGGAAGATCCAATGCTCACCATCGAAAAGAGTATTGCTTAGCTTAGCTTTTTAAGTGAAAATTTATAACGCCTTTACAAAAGACTTCACACCAAACCATTACAGCAGGGTGACCACGCTGAACCATTTGAATAATATTTTTGCGTGTTTGGAAGTTTTAGCATAAATTTTGAAGTTTTGCTTATTAAAAACTTCAACAGTAAACATTTTTTCATCTGTTCAAAGGTTACTTTCATGTCCGTTGACCAAATTTGTTTTAAGCGCGTTGTCATAAGATGATCAGTTGACCGACGATAGACTTACATGAAGAGATCATCTCGAATAAGTCTTGACATTGATCTGGTCTTCACCGTAGTTGAAAACAAGCAAATTAAAAAAATTATTAATCTGTGAAGTATACGTACGTTTGCTTTAAATATAATGAAATAGCAGATTAAAAAAAAAGAGTTAATTTTATTAAAAATTAGATGATTTTTAATCTACCAATAAATAATTTTTAATAAAATCGAAAATGAAGTTCATAGTAGCGAAAAACAACTACAAAATATGCAGAAAAAACTAAAAGTGATCAGATGTTTTGTCTTCGAGTTACAACTGTGTAGCAAGTGGGTACACTTTAGAAGGCAATAACTCAAAAAATGTTTGAAATATTCTTTAAAAATTTTAGTATGTTTAGAAATAAAGTTATAGACTACCAAAATATGCAAAAAAATATAAAATTACATTTTTCGAAACTTCATACTAGGTGTGCCTTTTAAAAGAAGAATAAAATCTTTTATATTAAATGTGAACCAAATCTAGACTAAATTAATAAAAAGTTATTCTTATTTTAATCTTTTTAATATTTTTAAGATTTGCATAATCGGGCTCAGATTCTTATTTTTTATTTAGAATAAATATTTTATCAACACTTTTTACAATTTGTATGTAAATACTTTTACACTTCAACACTCCTACACTGTGCAAGAGCAGGTTCGTGTCCGAAGTCTTTTGTTTTTTTTGTATGACAAATGCTACAAGAGTTGTCGGCATATAGCTGGCGCATTGCGTCACAGTCAAGGGCAAAGCGTTTAGCTTATACATAGTAAAACCGTACATACAGAGTTGTATGTAAATAAACAACATAAGAAACTCGTTAAACGCATGTACGCCAAACTGTTTCTGATTACATGAATGCAGCGCCAAAGCTATTTAAATAGGCACATATAAGAAATTTTGTATATTTGCGGATGCCTTACCTTAACGTTAACACTTAAAAGCAGAGCAAGTAAAAATTTGAAAAAAATAAATAAATAATTAAATCGTACGTATCGTACGCATCGTACGCATCGCGCTTACAAAGTACAGAAGCTTGTTTTTGGATGTGATGTGCTTTTTTTATACCCTGAACAGGCTACATTGAGTTTGCCACGAAATTTATATCATTCAGCAGTACATGTCGGTACCCATAAAATCTATAAATGATCAGCGTAATCTACCGAGTCGACTTAGCCATGTCCGCCTATTTCTAAATATGTAAATAAGTCCCTCAATTTTTGAGACAACGATTTGAAATTTTGCATTTAAAATTTTGCTTTTTTAAAAGCTATTAATTTGTTGGAAACACCAATATCGGGCTACTATAGCATGTAGTTGTCATACAAACTGATCGTTTAAGCTTAAGTCTTTGTAAAGAAAACTTTGCCACGAAATTCGCCATAGATTATTATCTTCTAACTTTATCTAATAAAAGCGCCAAACAATTTGTTTAGATCTTACCAATTTAACATTTAGCAGCCATTCAAACTGACCGATAAAAAGTTAAAAGTCTTTATTATGCATTTATTGAAATTAACGTTTATTTCTAGTTTTTGGCTTCTTCTTTGAAACCAGATAACAAGTGTCACACGTTCTTGCCGCTTAATCGATGTTAAGCCTTCTGAAATCTATGGAAAATCCCATTGCCATGCATGATTGAGTAAAGCAGTATTTCGAACTAAAGTGTCATTAGTTTTAATAAATTACTATGCATGTGTTAGTGAATGAGATGACATGCTTTTATATACTGTAAATCGGAAGTAATAAAATTGTGGTAAAAAATGAGATTGAAAAAAATTATTTTATTGAAGTGATTCTATTGTGCTCGACTTTTAATGACGACTTCGCGGTTTTTGCAAGCAATAGGAAGCGCATACACATTTTCCTACATATTTTACTTACATACTTATGTTTATTTATATTTATAAATTATAAATATTTATAAATATATTATAAATATTTATAAATATTATTATATATATTATAAATATTTATAAATATATATTTATATTGAAATGCACACCCACTTAATAAGGAACAACATTCTTTAAAGTTTAAACGCCGCTGCATACTCCTATGTATGTAAGTTTGTACAGTAGTATGGTGTGTATGTATATATATATATATGTATGCATGTACTACTAACATACTCACCTTTATAAAATGTACAAAAAATCAGCAGAAAACTCCACCGGCGCATTGTTCATTAACTTTTTTTTATTTTTTTCACACCTGTATGTATTTTTAATTAAAGTTGTTCACACAGCACATTTAGCGCAGATAGTTCTGCAACAATGTTGACGCTAATAGACAAGTTTAAGCTTCCTGCAGCGAAAACGGCATGATTTAATTAGTTCGATGTACAAATTGGGTTTCGATTGGTTTCACTTGCATGGGCGCGCACTCGAAAAAAAAAATATATTTTTATTATTTGCACGTCTGCATAATAGTTTGCACTTCTCAAAAAACACTACTTATCTAAAATTAAAAAAAAAAATATTCTTCCGTTAAAATTACAGCTTCCCACGAGTATTTTGTATCAACCAACACGTTTCGCGCTCAACTCGTTATTGAAACGATTTCAAAAAAATTGTGTTTATTTGTTTTATAAAGGCCGGAAATACGGAAAAGGCAGCAAGTACTGCGCAACAACAACATGAACTGTTTCATACACTTTTTTGTATTGCTGCAAAGAATAGCGCCGTTTCAGTTAACCTTAGCAGCAGTGTGGCGAAACCGGAGCAGTAAATCTATACAGCATAAGCGCAGAAGAGGTGGGGTCATACAGTGCAGTCTACAGTGTGTTCATATGTGCAATGTGGTAGACAAAAATTGATGGTAAACGGGAACAAATGGCAACGTATTTTTATACCATTAATATTGGAGGTCTGAAATCACACTCTTCATGAGTTTAAGATCAAATAACTAAGACTAATTCGATTGATATAACTAAGATTAATTTGATATATGACACATATGGTAGATAATATTCAAACGAGAGCTTAAATATATAAATAACTCTCTTTTTGTAACGCTAACCTCAAAGCATCCCTAGGTAATTTTTGGAAACAGATCATGGAAATAATAACGATTTTGCCGATCAAAATTTGAGTCAATCGGATTTTGTGCGAACTCCGGGGCTTTCCTACAGATAATGTTGAAAACAATTCCTAGTCAAAGAACGTTCAGATAGACGTTGAAATTATAATAGCCCGATAAAAAAAAATCACTAACTGTATAACAAAGCTCTCATGGGGTCGTCGAACAAAAATCAATTACAGCGACCTCTAGCGGATCTTTTACTGATAAACTGCCATTTTTTGTATTAAAATTATAGAAATAGAGACTACCATAGTTTCATCCTGTTACTTTGTGACAGAAGAATATATTGCCTCGAAAATCGAAAAATTTGCCTTCGAATTTCGAAATTGAGCTTAGTTCAAATATCATTATTATTTACACTATACAACATTCGGCAGAGTATTTGACCAAATCAATTTTTTTCGAGAGGTTGAGTCAAATATATTGTAGTAAAAGAGAAATATTTTCTTCTTTTTTCGAAGTTAGCCCCGAAAATCGAAATATTTGCCTCCGAAATTCGAAAACATAGTATGTAAGTTACTAAACAAGTAAAAAAAAAAATTTGGGCATTCTCCAAGTTTTCCGCTTATTTCACTAGCGTATAACATTTTTCGATCAAGCTCATACGACATTTGCTATAAAATGTTAAATTCGGATCTTCGAAAAAAAATTAAAGAAAACCTTAAAGCATAAATTATTAATATTTAGTAATAATATTCTAAAAACTTCTTCAGCCAATATCGTTTCTTAAAACATTATTTCCCCCTATTTTCAAAATTCAAATGGTACAACAAAGCAGAAATAAAACATTATCCATCCTTACATCGCAAAATACTTACAAATAATTTAATTTCTCTCTCTCTCTCTCTCGCTCTTCCTAATATCAATTATAGTTATATTATATAATTTTTAACTACAGTTTATCACACTGTGCTACAATGGTTCGCAATATTTATTACCAATGCTGATGGGATTATTGCAAATTGATATTTGAATACAATAGTTGATTAATGCGGCTATGTGTGTTTGTGTTTCCCAGTGACGTATGTAGTCTATATAGTGAGTAATAGAACGGTGAATTGCAAAACAAAGCACAAAACGCAAGATTGAAAATTTATTTTGTAATATTATTTTTTCGTGAATCTTAAAACCAAAATTGTTCAAAGAAATTACCACAAATATTACAGACAGTTTTTTGTTTATTTAGTTTAGTTAAGAAATTGATAAAAATATATATGTATATGCTTATACTAGTTGCTTAAGTCTAAAATAAAAGATGGAAATGCTATGTTTTGAACATAATATAAATGGAATGGTATTATTTCGAGCAAATATTTAATATAGAAAATTAATTATTCAATTTCTAAAATTGTGTGTATATCATTGGAAATTTTTCATTAAATACAATTGTTTTTTTTTATTTGAACACAACTGATTATATGATTAAACGATTTTGTAAATCTAAATCAGTTATTCACATAAATGCGTTGTTCTATAACGGTTATTGAACGTTAAAGAATAATCAAAGTCAATTAACCCATTTATCGTCTTCTATATGAGATGTCAATGTAGATAATTAGTTCCATATTTGTTCTTGCTTTCTATTAGTAGCCATGCTAGAGCAGATAAACTATTATTTGATGTTTCTTTTCTTTTTATAGATCAATCGTTGCTTTTATGCGACAGTGGCAGTGGTGGTTGCAATGTTATCGACTCCAGCAATATTTTCTTCTAATGCACTTTGCGCTTGTATTTGAACTTGTTCATCTGGTTCCAAATGTAACTGTGCATTATTAATAGAATTTTCGATAGCAGCCTCTGTGACCACGGTAGATATGGTATTCGTGTCTTCAATCTGGTTATCGCCGTTTTCAATCGTATTATTGTCATCGACTGCTGTTTCATTATTTAGTGCTTCCACAATATGACTCTCCAAATTTGTTGACACCTCTGCAACTGCATTAGATTCGTCAGCTATTTGAGAAGTTGTTTTATTCTCTTCACTTCCTTCATCGCGTGCTTCAGTGGCGACAGCGTCACCGTTACAACCATTCACTTGTTCTTCAGTGTTAGGCGTGATTTCTTTTGTGATCTTTTCGCCTACTTTCGAATCTATTTCGGTAACTTTTTCCTGCAACTTCAGTTTTAATTCTGTAGGCCATTTTTTGTTCCACTCGCGGAAAAGTTTTATCTAACAAAAATTAAATATTATCAAAACGAAGTCAGTAAATGATTTATAAACAAATACTTAAAAAAAAAATCTTATAATCACTACAAAAATTAAAGATAATATAAAAAAAAATCTATGTGTAAATTAATTAATTTCATTCAACTTTCCGACATTATATCTTTCTATATATATAACAAATACGATACTTACCCTACATTGGAATAAACTCATTGGCTTGTCCTGAATGCTGTTCTGGGACACAGAGTTCACTATCCCGTTCATATACACCTCGTTAGGACCTCCCTGCTGTAGATACTCTAACAACACCGGTACAAAGTCATCGCGCTGCAACTCACTCCACTCGTTAAACCACTGTATGATGTAACGGAACTCGCCATCAGTTGATAAATTGTTCATAGCCATTACTACGGCTTTATATTCTAATATTTTGAGATATTTCCCAACCAAAGGTCTATCAAAAATTTTGTGAATTAAGATGCGGTTTATAGAATTTTTAATTTTTTTGTAGAGTGAGCCACTTTTTTTAGTTCAGCTACCTGGACATGTGTATCGCATTTAACTTAACTTTAATTCTTTCACTTTTGTACACGTAAATTAGTTAAAGCTGATCTTTTCTCATTGCAGCACTCGCTCACTCTACTGCACAAATGTAAATGCCATTACTACTCTCATTTCAGCCTAGCTTACCTTTTCCACACGACTTAGCTTTCAGAGCTCTGCGCAACAGTTTTCTTCCACTAGCAAACCCAAAGATGAAAAACTAGAATCTTTGAATTACTTACAAACGTACGAATGAATATTTGGATATAAAGCAGTCCAGTCTCTTCATATGTACATATGGACAATCTCCATTTCTAAAAAGAATTTACATTGACCGCCAGTTTGAATTTGGTGCCTTTACAACTATTAGATTTTAATTATTTTCTTTATAGATTTTGTGCAATTATTGTTGCATTCACAATTATTGAAATGCAATTTAGTTTTGTTTTTTTTCTACTTTCAGTTGTAAATAAAGAGCTGTCAAAAAATAATTTTGCTTCAAAGCTGCCAACATCCGAGGATATCATTTTGATACAAATAGAAGAGACATAATGGAGTATACAAAAAGCAGAGGAAACAATATCTTAAATTACTGGTCAAAGGGTTGGTTCCTATATAGAAAATTGGTAAAAACATACTCCCCAGAAAGAGTAATCACTTTTATGACATATACAGTAATATAATATATGTATAAAACTTCTGCTTACTGTTATAAACCATCAGCTCTGTTCTGTTAGTCTGCAACAAACACTGATTTATAACAAAATATTATTACCAACAGGTTTGAATTATGCAGGGAAAATTTTCGAAATCGCACTTCATCATTTTACAGGGGAATTTTCAATCAGTTGACAAAATCAATTTAAACAAAATAAATAAAATAAAATAAATTTCTCGCACTATCTTAAAACATAAGTTATGTGGCATCACTGAATTATATGTCAGAAAATTTCCTTTCCTAGACGAGCACCTTTTTTTTCATTTCAGAAACTCAAGCAGGTAAATCGAGAGAAAAGTTCGGAAAAGTTAGAATGTAATATTTGTAATTTCTTAAAGACATTAAATTAAGAAAACTATTTAATTTTCGGTACAAAGTATATAAAAAGAAGGACGCGTTTATCAAACACAGAACTCGTAGATAATCAAATCATATACACCTCAGCGCCAACGCATTCACTTGCACGAGTATCAAACCCCCTATAAAGGAAGTGCAGCATACGAATCGGTGATAAAGGAATAAAAAAATTGTGAAAAAAATTTAAGGGAAAATTGCTGGAAACATGTCGGCGGCGCAAGTTGAAGTGCAACAAAACAATGAGGATAAAACATTGGGTGGAGTGAGTAAAGCACCCACTAAAGACACCGACTCAACCGCCTCCTCCCTCAATAACGCGTTGAACGAGAATAATAATGCAGTGGAAAAGACCACTAATATGGATACGTCAACAACACCGCAAGAGCCAACTAACAATGGTGTCGATGAAGAAAAGGATTTAGCCGAAAATTACAAAAATCAGGGAAATGAGCTGTTGAAGAGTAAGTAAAATTAGTGTTGACACTAGCCAAGTAGTACTTATATGACCATAAAAAGTATATAGTCGTTGTATAAGATTTGCGCGGATTAAATATTTTAATGTCGTTGCTCTTTCATTTAATAAGTACGCGCGTGTGTTAAACGAAAAACATTGCGCGCACCCTTAATCGTGCCTCATTCTAACCTTAAACTGTACTATACCCCACAACAACATAGACGGCAAATATGCAAATATTGAGTATGACAACCCGCCGAACTGATTCCCTTCTATCGTCTTAACGTTTTTCATACTAATGTAATATATGTAGTTGTCATTATGTGTTAATTGGTCTGATAATGTAAATTGTATTTGGGACGACTCAAAAAGTACAAAGTCAAAATGTTGAATGCATTGATTATTTTTATTTAATGAAATTATATAAACAAAAAAATATCAGTATGTTTTAGACCTTTTTTTGTAATACTACTACTATGTCGTTCATTCCAAAATATTAAGAACCAACTTGCTTTTTATACGCAGAGAAGGAATTCACTAAAGCAATTGAAATGTACACGAAAGCTATAGAGTTATGTCCTTGTGCAATATACTATGCCAACCGTTCACTAGCTCATTTGCGAGAAGAGAGTTTTGGTTACGCGCTGCAAGACGGTATTGCAGCTGTCAAAGCGGATCCAACGTACTTGAAGGGCTATTATCGTCGTGCCGCAGCTCAAATGTCACTCGGTAAATTCAAGCAAGCGTTAGCCGATTTTGAATATGTAAGTAGAGACAATTTATGTGTTAAATAAATAATATAATTTGGTTATTTTGATTTGAAATTTTAGGTCTCAAAATGTCGACCCAATGACAAAGATGCTAAACTTAAGTATACGGAATGCAATAAAATAGTTAAAATGCGTGCTTTCGAACGTGCCATCGCGGTTGATACACCCGAAAAAACGTTAGCCGAAATGTACAAAGAATTAGAAGACATAGGTAAAATAAATGTGCAATTAATTGTATGATCATAGTTTTTATTTCTTAAGAATTATAGCTATCGAAGATGCTTATACGGGGCCGGCCCTCAAAGATAACAAAGTAACATTGGAATTCATGTTGGAGCTAATGGAGCATTACAAAAACCAAAAAATTTTGCACCGTAAATACGCTTATAAAGTACGTATTATAATTCATAATATAGTTTTTAAGTATTTAATTTCATAATTGAATTTCTCTCTATGACCAATACTTTATTATATACATATTACATACATACATATATACAAGTACATATGATAATCGTTTAGAGATTAGATTAATATTTGTATTTAATTCTAAATGTTCGCCGTCATAATTCTGATTACGTACTAAACATATGTTCGACTTTTTGTTAGCCTACGCAATATCTATATCTGAATATAAAATCATTTCACTGAATTATTTTTCAGATACTCTGCGATGTTGACGAATATATGCGGACGCAACCCTCGCTCGTTGACATTAATGTACCCGATGAATCGAAATTTACAATTTGTGGCGATATTCATGGTCAGTTCTATGATCTTATGAATATCTTCAAAATAAATGGCTTGCCATCGCCGACGAATCCATATCTATTCAATGGCGATTTCGTTGATAGAGGCTCTTTTTCTGTTGAGTGTATATTCACACTTTTCGGTTTTAAACTTTTATATCCGAATCACTTCTTTATGTCTCGTGGTAATTATTAAACTAAATTTATTTATTTATTTATTTTTTTAAGTTACATGTGAAGTTTACTGAGATTAATTAATTGATTTAATTTATTTATTTAAGGCAACCATGAGAGCATAAATATGAATCACATGTACGGCTTCACTGGTGAAGTATCGGCAAAATATACCTCCCGCATGGCTGATATGTTTACGCGTGTATTCAATTGGTTGCCGCTATGCCATTGCATTAACAAGAAGATTCTCGTTATGCATGGTGGTCTGTTTTCGAAAGACAATGTCGTTTTAGATGATCTACGCTGCATCGATCGCAACTGCCAGCCACCAGAAGAGGGACTCATGTGTGAACTATTATGGTCCGATCCGCAAGCATGGCCGGGACGTGGACCCTCGAAACGTGGTGTCGGCATACAATTCGGACCCGATGTTACAAAAACATTTTGTAACCGAAATAATCTGGATTATGTTGTACGCAGTCATGAAGTCAAAGATATGGGTTACGAAGTCACACATGATGGCCAATGTATTACAGTGTTTTCAGCACCTAATTACTGGTAAGTCACGTCAATTTGTAATGTAAAGAATGCAAACCTTTATATCGCAATATCGTAAATAAAATTGTTTACCGTAATTTTTTCTACCAGCGATACTATGGGCAATATGGGCGCTTTTATAACAATAAAAGGCAATGATTTGAATCCGAATTTCAAATCATTCGAATCTGTGGTGAGTATATTCATAAACACTTTTTTTACTATACTTTGAAAGTTTGTGTATTTAATGGAAATTTTTCATTTCATTACAGCCTCATCCTGATGTAAAGCCAATGGCATATGCAAACAGCTTAATGAGCATGCTCTCCATGTAGTTTAAGTTGACACTGTATAGTAATATAAAATTAGGGTGGCGTTTAAGCAAGTATTGTATATCTTAAACAAGAAAACAAAAGATACAAAAAGAAACTAAAATCAATAGACGATAGAACATAAATAACAACATGTCGTATGAACACTACCGCATTTTGAACTCAAAAATTGCTCACGACATAAAGTCACAGAGTTTCACATTTATAAAGAAAAAGGGTAAACTGGTGCTTAGTATAGAATCCCTATAATGAAAAAAAAATGCAAACTACAATCTATTTTTAACTTGAATGGTGAAAAACAACAATTACTATATAATTTTAATAGTATACCGTATTGAGAACCGTTGATTCATTGTATTCGAAATACGCATTTTTAGCGTAAAAACCGCTTCCTAAAAGCTTGGCTTTGTTGGCTTCTATTTTACAAATTTCCAAAACAAAAAAAAAACAATAATAAGAACGAATTAAATTACATAACCTATACATTTATGCAAATACGAATTGATTTGATTGATTCTAGTTTTCAATTTTTAAAGTCGAAAATAATGTTTGTTAAAAAGTCAGTTAAAAACACTTAAAATGTGACGTACAATATTTTTTGCTGTTTACCAATTTTCAAATTGTAATGCAAATTGCAAATTTTATCAATTATATTAAGTCAACCAAAATCTAAATTACGCCACATTTTAGTTTTATTTTACTGTAAAAAAATGTATACAAAAAGAGAATGAAAAATATGTTTTGCTATGAAAATATCCAGAAGCGGCGTTTCATTCGTTTTTTTAACTATATAATTTAAAAGTCTTGTGCAAAAAGCTCTACATACTATCAGGGTTGCAAATATTGAATTAAACAATTAAAGGTATTCATTTTTAATTTTTATTCCCGAAAATTTTTATTAAAACTTTTTTCTTAATTTTTAATCCTAAATACGAGATTGAAAAATGAAGTTTTAAAATTTCAAAAACCGGATTAAAATATATTTAATCCCAAATACCGGTTAAAAAAAATAATCCCAAACATAAAATTAAGAATTAAAAACAAAAGATTTAGAATTACAATTTTTTTCTCGTTTACGTTTTCTACCATTTTGAACTAGAGCTCGCACTATCATCATTTTCAATTTTCTAGAACACTGGTCGGCAAACCTACGCGATTTTGGCCACTTTTAATTCTGATTTTTGGGTTAAAAATTAAATTCTATTATATATAAACTTATTTTATTATATTATAAAAAAAAAAATTTATTAAAAACTGGGATTAAAAATTGAAAAGTTTATTTTTTTAATTCAGTAGCAAAAATTGAAAATTCAATTTTGTTAAATTTTTTAAATTTAATCTTTTCAAAATGTTAGGTACCTAACTACTAACAAAATAGTTTTACTTTTATTTCAAATTTCTTAATTTCATTTAAAGTTATGTTAACCGCTATGTTTGAGTTTAGGTCTAGTGTAAGCAGTATAAAACGAGAAATTGTAAAGAAAACCAGCCGCATAGAACATAAATTGGTGCATGCATGTTGCCGAATGAATTTATCTCTCATGAATGTACGCCTGGCTGGGCTAGATGCCACATACTCTTAGTAACACATACATATATTTATATATACATATATATATTCTTATTAAGTGTGAAAATGGAAAATTGCATTTTGATATGCGTGAACTGGAATGAAAACAAAGTATAGAGCAATTAAAACAATACATACGTACATATGTATCAAATTAAAATTTTTAATAAAGCGAACTTAAAAAAGTTTCAAAACATTTCTTCGTGTATTCTTAAACCAACACAACATATGGTTACACTGCCTCCAATGTGGCAGTTGCTTCAAGCAACTTTTTTTTTAATGTATTTTTGTTTTTTCTTTTGAACTTTACACACACCACATGTGCCACAAAATTCAGACTTTCAAAAACATTACAAAAAAAATTTTTTTTTAGTAAAAAAAAATTATATTTCTAAAACATTTAGTTAGTAGTAAAATTTCCGTTAAATCTCAGTTCAAAATTCGCCAGTTTGCTGTTTTACCAATCAAATAGCTTCCGACAACTTTGGAGCCAGCTTTTCGCCACTAAATATATTTTTGGTTTACAGGATTCGAATTTGTTTATTTTTTTTAGCATTGAACATATGAAGCGCCAAATTTCTACCTACACAAAACAATGAGGTATTTCAAGTGCGATTTGTTGGCGTCAGCCATTAATTGCAAAATATTTAGTTGCTTCTGTTTTTAGTTGCCCGCCTGATTCAAATACAACGCCAACATATTTCGAAAATCGAAGGTATTCGACTGGAAGTTTGTATCGCATATAACAAGTAACGGTATTTTTCTCTTCGAAGAACACAGTTTAATAGCATGCAGGAAATTAATGAGGATAGTGTGCGTGGTTGTCGACCGGCAAGACAATATGGTCCCAGACAAGGTTTGAACACAGGCACGCCTAGATTTCCGCCATCGCCACGTCAATATGAGGCACACGAATTTGGCTTAGACGAAGATGAACAATTCCAACATCCGCGTATGTTCGAAAATCTTAACTGTAAGTTAACAACGCGCACGTCAAGTACGCTTCGTATCCCCGCACTCACGTCGTATTTCATTCCGCAGTTGAAACGAATGCTGGGGCTTTCGAAGCGATGCGTACGGCAAACGCTAGGCCAGCATATCAACAGCAGCCTCAATTCAATATATGTGATCTGCCTTCAGAACAATTGGATGATTTGTCGAGCCCTAACTTTAGCGAGGCCTATGACGAGGGCACTTGCAATGTTTGTCCGCAACAGCAAAAAACGCCTGATATTTGCGATATTTCCGCGCCGGACTTTTGCGATATATCAGATGCTTCACCGTGGCCGACTCAAACGCCGCCAAGGCGTATGCAGTCACCTAGAAGACAGCAACAAAAAACCCCTGATATTTGCGATATATCCGCGCCGGACTTTTGCGATATATCAGCCATTTCAACTGGCCCCCCGAGGCGTACACAATCGCCAGGGAGACAACAAAGAAGGCAATCATTTCCGGATAGTTGCTTGGATGACGAATCAGCTCCAATATATAATAGCACAATGCGCTCACCGACACCACAAATACATTATACGCCTATTGGTTTGATGGATACACCCGATGTGTGTGCACCAACACCACCGGCTCCAACACCAACACCGCCTCCTCATTTCTCGCCAATCAGACTACAGCCGTCGCCTGTACAATATCCCAGCGAATGTTTGGAAGATATTTCAGTGCCTTCATTTGAACGCACTGTCTGCGATATGCCATCACCGTCTTCACCAGCAAGAGTGCAAATGCCGCAGGATTTGCCTTCCGATATGGTTTGCGATATTAGCGCTCCGTCGTTCGGTTCACCGCCAACGCCATCCATGTCTTTTCCAAGTGAGGCATTAGAACAAATGACAATGCCTTCATTTGAAGACGCCTCATGTGGTTCACCATTAGATAGGCGCTTCCTCTTGGATTCCAGATTAGCTGAAGAAAGTCCGCCGTCATTCGTCTCCTCACGTGTTTCCTCGCCGAGACGATCTGTCTCTAGAAGAGACACACCTTATCCATCAACGCCAATATCACAAGAGGTCTGTCCTTCACCGTGTGCGGTACTCCAACAGGAGCAACAACCCTACGAACCCACTCCGATGCGCAAACGACATTCACCACCTCGTAGGTTCAATCTTGCGAAGTTAATGTCACAACGTTCAGCAGCTGCAGAATGCTCACCAATGAGAACTTCCTGTCCTTCTACAGTAGGCACACCTACACCACCAGCGCCACATTTTTCCTATTACTCTCCGACACCTGTCCGGGGGCGCTCCCTACCTAAGAACTTGCCTAGTGAATGTCTAACAGACGTCAGCCAGCCATCATACTACAGCAGTCCCTCTCGAACGCCTGGTCAAATGCCTCCTCTACCCAGTAATTTACCTAGTGAATGTCTTGGAGATATTAGTGAGCCATTATATGAAAGGACCCCACCTGCCCGAACACCGTCACTGCCACATGATCTGCCATCCGAACTTTTATGTGATATGTCACAACCGATGTACGACACGCCCCGCAGTGAACGTTTGTCCAGCATGACAATGCCTTCATTTGAAGATGCATCCTGTGGATCACCATTGGATCGACGATTTTTATTGGATTCAAGAATTATGGACGAAAGTCAACCATCTTTTGCACCTTCACCTCGCAGTTTATCACCGTGCAGATCATTTTCACCGTGTGTTCAACCGGTAACAACATGTCCGTCCATTCCACATGCACAATCCCGATCTGTAACTCCTCAACGATTACTTTATTCTCCGCGATATTCACCAGCACCGCGGTCTGTACGTTCAAGGAGTCCCTCGCCTGTATGTTCTCCTACACCACCTGCACCGCATTTCAGTTTGCGATCCCCTACACCGGTTAGATCACCAACCAGATGTCCAATGCCAAGAGATATGCCTGATGAATGTTTGACAGATATAACTGAACCAGAATATTTTAGCAGTTATTACAACGCTTCTCCCCCTCAAAGATCATTCCCCAGTAATATGGCTAGTGAATGCATATCTGATATTAGTGCTCCATGTTTTGAGAGGACGCCACCTAATAGGACTCCAGAAATGCCAAAGGATCTACCTTCAGATATGATATGTGACATAAGCTCACCAAAGTATCAATCGCCTGGTAGCGAACATTTATCTTTTGAATCGATGCCATCTTTTGCGGACACTTCGTGTGGATCCCCATTGGACCGAAGATTCCTTTTAGATCCCCATTTGGCTGATGAATCCATGCCAACGATGGTTTCTTCTAGATCACCATCCCTTTCACCTGGAAACCAGTCTTCATCACGTGTAAAGGATGAATCGAGCTTTGACAAAACATATTGCGAAATACTTCAGCGTTTCAATTCATTAAAATCTAAAATTGATGCACCTCCGGCTGGCACGTCTAGTCATCAAACACAACCTAGTTTGGACAGTGGCCGGCTGCCGCCAGCTGAATGTGTTCGAGAAACAGTTATAGAAAGAACAGAAAACGAGAATGGACAACTTGAAAGCACCACTCAACACATTGTTGTCACGATTGATCCATGCGGATCCATACAAACACACACTAAAGAGATTAAGACTAAATATCCAAATAGTTCACCTAACAGGTTAGCCCCTCCTTCCGCGGATTCTGGTATACTCAGCCAAAGCCCAAGGCCAGCAGAACAGGTTGAAAATTTGCGTGACTCAATTCGTAGACGTTTAAGCTTCGATCTATCCGACATGCCAAGTGACAACCTAGCCGACGTCACTCCACCTTGTGTCGATGACTTACCGTCTATGTCCACAGAAAATATTCTGCAGCATTTATCAAGTATTCCCGAGGAACAACTGTCAAGAGTTTCAGCTCCATCGTATCGAACTCCCCCTGTTCCATCTGTTTCCTATCCAAGTGAAATGTTAGATGAAATGTCGATACCATCTTTCCAGAATGCGTCATGCGGTTCACCGCTGGATCGGCGATTCCTACTGGATCCCAGGCTAGCAGACGAGAGCCCTCCATTATTTGCATCATCTTACGTCTCATCACCAACACCACCTTATCGTTCTGGACATTCAACAGCGCAAACGCCGCATTTACGTAGTCGAGACCAAACATCGTTTCAAGCATTCACTCCTCAACGTCCATTGAACACAATGCAACCAGAGTTTGGTACTATTAGGTCACCCGAACGATTTCAACCGCTTTCATCACCTTTAAGAGAAGTACATTCGCCCTCAATGCACACCCCACCAGCGCCCCACTTCTCACTGCGTTCACCTACACCTATTGGTCCGCCACCGAGACGGAGTTTTCCAACAAATTTACCTCACGAGCAATTAGCTGACATAAGTGAGCCAGCTTTCTTCAGCAGTACACCGGTCACTTCACCACGAAGATTTTCGCTACCAACAAACATGCCAAGTGAACGGCTAGACGATATAAGCCAACCATCCTACCAGAGAACTCCACCTCCGCAAACACCGCGCACACCCACGAACTTACCCAGCGAAATGCTTGGAAATATATCTGCACCTTCTTACCAATCACCAGCAAGTGAACATATTTCACATGTCACTATGCCCAGTTTTGAGGATGTCTCATATGAATCACCACTAGATAGACGATTCCTCTTAGACCCCAGAATTGCGGATGAGTCTATGCCAACATTGCTAAGAACGCCATCCACACAACGATCACCCATTACCAGTACACAAAGACCAGGTACAAGTACACCAAGACCTGCCGCAGCTAGACGTCGCCTTTCGTATAGTCAGCCGGACTCAACCAGAGGTAGTCCTTTTAGAGGCAGTCCCAAAAGGAGTAACTCTGAGGGTAGGGGTGGTCAGGGTCTTCGCGGGCCAGCAACCGTAGAGCAAACACACACAACAATTAAACAAAGTGGCACCTACGAACAACAACACAGTGTCACGCCTGGGCAGTCTGGAACGCAAGGGCGCCACCGCCCAACGACATTAATGGATACCTCGAAAGAGCAACTGAAAATAACGACGTCGACTGTTTCTATTTCACGAGTTTACCACGACGGACCAACTGAAAGTGCAACAGGTGGTCACCAACGCAGAAGAAGTATGTCACTGCCTAGTGAAAACCTTGGCGATATTTCAATGCCTGCTAGTCCACCGTCAATGGGAATGTCGACAACAAATCATATACAACAACGAAAAATGTCACCAATGAGCCAAATGCTCAATGACATTTCGATGCCGT